TGCACTATCCTCTTCCGCCTAATATCAGAGGATCGCGTGCTCGGTTGACAGACCTCGACAACCTCGAACTCGACATTCTCCATCAGCGTGGCGCTTTCTTACTCCCTCCCAAACCCCTCTGTGACGAGCTTGTCGAAGCTTATTTCAAATGGGTCGCACCTATCGTCCCCATTGTCAATCGCAGCCGTTTTATGCGACAATATCGCGATCCGAAGAACCCACCTTCTTTGCTTCTACTGCAGGCCATCCTTCTCGCTGGCTCGAGAGTTTGCACGAATCCCCAACTTATGGATGCGAACGGCTCCACCACCCCCGCTGCAATGACATTCTATAAACGGGCGAAAGCACTTTATGATGCTAATTACGAAGACGACCGCGTCACGATTGTCCAGGCCCTTGTTCTCCTAGGCTGGTACTGGGAAGGTCCCGAAGGTTTGTTTATTTGCTTTGCCTGAGAGTCGGCCTGTTCTAACTCCTACAGATGTGACAAAGAATGTCTTCTACTGGACGAGAGTTGCAATGGTCGTCGCACAAGGCTCCGGCATGCACCGAAGGTATGGCCTTTTCCCATGGTATCTTCGGCTCAGTGACTTATGATTGCAGTGTGGAATCATCTCAACTCAGCAAGCCAGACAAGAGATTATGGAAGCGCATTTGGTGGACCCTCTTCACCAGGGACCGATCCGTAGCAGTTGCCCTGGGCCGGCCTATCGGAATCAACACCGACGACTCCGACGTGGGCATGTTGACCGAGGACGATTTCGTTGAGGACGAGATCGACAGCGTCGCCGAGTACCCTCCAGACCCTGTGCACGTACAGTTCTTCCTTCAATACGTCAAGCTGTGCGAAATTATGGGTCTAGTGCTGTCTCAACAATACTCTGTGGCGTCCAAATCTCGGAGGATGAACGCCATGGACTTGACGCATTCAGATATGGCTCTAGCAGACTGGCTTCAGAATTGCCCAAAGGAGGTATGCTGGCAGAAGTCCCGGCATCACTTCTTGGCAGCTCTTCTTCATGCGAACTACTAGTGAGTGCAAAAGGACGTCTCATCTTTGGAAGACCATGACTAATGAACACAGCACCACCCTGTGTCTCCTGCATCGAGCACACATGCCTCCTGCTTCGTCGGCGCCAAACAGCTACCGTGTGGAGGAGATGGCGTATCCGTCTCGTACTATTGCCTTCCAAGCTGCAGGGATGATTACCTCTATCGTCGAAAATCTACAGACACATCAAGAAATCCGATATGCTCCTGCGTTCATGTTGGTCTTTACTTTTAGTGATTTTTACTGCCTCCTGCTAACGTTTAACAGAGTCTACAGCCTGTTCTCGGCGTTGATCATGCACGTCTACCAAATGCGGTCATCAGTACCGTCTATTGTAGCGACGTGCCAGGAGAGAATCAACATTTGCATGCAAGCCTTGAAAGACGTGTCCAAGGTTTGGCTGGTGGCGAAGATGGTTCACACGCTGTTCGAGTCGATCTTGGGCAACAAAGTTCTCGAAGAACGTCTTCAAAAAGCTGCTGGAAAGAGGCATCAGAGGGTACGGCCCGAGACGCAAACGCAACAGCCTCCTGCGAAGAAACCGGATCCGCCGAAGCGGAAATTCGACGATATGGATCTTGGTTTACCAAACGGGGGTCCTACACCTCCGGTTTCATACGAACGATCTCGACCACAGACACCTGCCGTCACCCCATCCAGAGAATTGGGACAACCTCCTGGGATCAGCGTGCCGCAAGGGTCCCCTACTGGCCCTCAAAATACAATGCCAGGCAATTCGCGAAGCAATACTCGACCGACAACGCCCTTCAATGGTCACTTCTCGCTACCTGCAACACCTCCAGACCTTTTCCTTGTCACACGTACTTCGCCCAACCTCTCTCCGTCTCTCTGGGAGAACTTCCAGCCAGACCAGTTGTTCCCTGATGGCACGGCCATATTCCCCGAGTTGGCGTCTCCGCAAAACCATACTGTCGACCCACAACTACAGATGCAATCGCAATTACAATCACAAGGTATGCAGCAACGCCACATGATGGTGAACCAAACGCCGCAGATGCCGGGACGTAACCTTTCCAGCCCGGAGCTTATGTCGGGCCTGCCACCGGGGATGGGCTTGCAAGGTGGCCAGCCACAGCAAATGTTTGGATTGGAAAATCAGCATGGATGGCCCATGCAAGGCTTAGAGGCGGCGTTGAATGCCACTGGAATGGACAATACTAGTCAGGATGACAACTGGAGTAGCAGTTCACGAAGTGGACCAACGGCTCCCACGACGCTGAACGTCGAAGACTGGTATGTTTGTGTCAGAGATACCTGAGATGACATTACTGACCTTGGCTGTTCTTAGGTTCCAATTCTTCGGCATCAATGGGAGCTTTGGAGAGATGGCAACATGACATGATTTTCCTAGGTGATGAATGCTTTGACTTTGCGACGTGTATAACATCGATTCTCTGGCTGCGCCTTTGCCTCTTCGTGACTTTATGACTTTTCACTCTAGTTCTCTTGCAGGGTCATATTCTGCCTATTTGACGTATTTCCTCTGTTTCTGATGGTACTGTCTGCAGACCGACTGCAACGAGCCAGGTTGAAACGGTATAAGGAAGGAGTACGATGGGAAGGATGAATTATCCGAAATTGATATATGTATATACTCGCACGTGCCGGTGCCTATTTAATGGCTATATCCAATGGCCGATGGCTTTGAATATTGATATGGAAAATCACTCCTGCCTCAGGCATTAACTATGAGTCAGCTAACTAAGCCTTGAATGGAATAGCGGATGACGAAATCGCGGACAGCGGACGGCAGCCAATCACAGGGCAGCGGCGCCGAAGCATCCTTTCCCGCTACGGCAAGCAACAATCCGCTCGTCTGACTCTTCTGGAGATCCCCCAGTCTAAGTTTCCAGTCGTTGTTCTCCCTCCTTTTCCATCCATTCTTTTTTATCCCTTGTTCTTTGATCTTTGATCGTGTGACTGTTATAACAATTCTAGAGTCTCAGTTGCTTCCTATGGTTTGAGTGTTTCAACCTGACTGATCAATCTACGCTCCTTGCTTCCCCGCTACTTTCCCGCCCCGCAAGCGATGTCGGCCTCGGGTTCTGGTGCTGCTGTGCCTGCAGCCACCAATGCTATGAAGAAGGCATTCCCTCACGTCGACCTTGACGGACACAATCTCCCTCCGTCGCCTGCTCCGTCGAGTCCTCGGACAGGCAAGCGATATGCAATTGCCACAGAACTCGTATATACCGACAGCAATGACCAGTACAATGCCAGCAGCGTTCCCATTTACCAGGTATGTCTTCGATGCGAGGCAACCATCCGATGAGAGTATACTGATTGAAGCAGAGCGCCACGTTTAAGCAGACCTCGGGCGGCGGCGGCGGAGAATATGACTACACTCGCTCCGGAAATCCCACCAGAACTCACCTCGAACGACACCTCGCCAAAATCATGTCCGCGCAGCGCGCGCTAGTTGTCTCATCTGGTATGGCTGCTTTGGATGTGATCTCCCGACTGCTTCGTCCTGGTGACGAGGTTGTGACGGGTGACGACCTTTACGGCGGAACGCATCGTCTTTTGAAATACCTGTCGACCAACGGTGGCATCATCGTCCACCATGTCGATACGACGCAGCCGGAGAAAGTCCGCGAGGTGTTGACTCCGAAGACAGCTATGGTCTTACTCGAGACGCCGACCAATCCTCTCATCAAGATTGTCGATATTCCCCAGATTGCCACGGCGGCGCACGAGATCAACCCGAGTTGCTTGGTGGCGGTAGACAACACTATGATGTCTCCGCTGCTATTGAACCCTCTCGAGCTCGGTGCGGATATTGTTTATGAAAGTGGAACCAAGTACCTGTCTGGCCATCATGACCTCATGGCCGGTGTGATTGCCGTGAACGACCTTGCTCTTGGGGAGCGGCTATACTTCCCCATCAACGCGTCGGGATGCGGCCTGTCTCCGTTTGACTCGTGGCTCTTGATGCGTGGTGTGAAGACGCTCAAGGTGCGGATGGACCAGCAGCAATCCAACGCGCAGCGCATTGCCGAGTTTCTCGAATCCCATGGGTTCAAGGTTCGATACCCGGGGCTGCGGTCTCACCCGCAGTACGAGCTGCACCACTCCATGGCGCGGGGCGCCGGAGCGGTGCTGTCGTTTGAGACTGGCGATGTCGGCGTCAGCGAGCGCATCGTCGAAAGCGCCAAGCTGTGGGCCATCAGTGTCAGCTTCGGCTGTGTCAACAGTCTGATCAGCATGCCCTGTCGGATGAGCCATGCCAGTATTGACGCGAAGACGCGACAGGAGCGAGCGATGCCGGAAGATTTGATCCGGCTGTGTGTTGGTATTGAGGATGTAGATGATCTCATTGACGATTTGCGGCGGGCGGTAAGTCTCTTTCACTTTCCTGCATTTTTCTGCATTCTTTCAATGCTAATTACCCGTGCAATTAGCTCGTTCAAGCCGGTGCAGTCAACATCACTCTAGATGGATTCGAGGCGAACGCGTCTAGTGAAACTAACTCTGCGTGATGTTTGCGAGCAGCTGGTACGGTCTCATTCGATTTCGGGCGATATCATTGGCGTTGAGGTTTACAAAATATGTCTCGGTTATACAGAACATAATCTGGTTATTCTATAGTACGATATTCATTGTAGACTGTAGACCTAAGTGTTATTAAAATGAGTCTCAACTGATTGACTAGATTGCACTTCGGCAACCGAGAGCCGGCATCGGAGGCTCGCCGAACGTATCGGGCCCGGGGCATTCTCGTCCGTGATGCAGTCAGAGTCATCAGCATAATTGTTTCCCCCAGATTGGTCAGGATGAATCGCTGGCGATATGAGTATATGAGTATCAGGCATGGCTGTTTGTAATTGATAACTGCAAACTCTCTATCGTCTACGCAAGCGTCTCCGTTACAGACCTGTTTGTGCCGACGCCTCATTGTTTACTCTACAATCGACCGAGTCAGCAGATTATGCCACGGAATGCCCTCACCCCAGATGGCCTCGTCACCATACCAGGTCCAGCCGCAGAACGGCCATTGAAGCCGTCAACGGCACCAACAGCGTCAGCGTCAGCTACAGCTACAGCTTCATCAAAATGGAACACCGACAAACTAGGCATGCGCCTCGGCGTAGACATCGCCAGCGCAATGACAGCAGGAGCTCTAACCTGCCCCGTCATCACCGTCATCGACCGGTACAACCCATCCATCCCCTTTCCCTTGTCCTGTCCTCTGACTAACTGATATGATTGATACAATAGAGCCATCATCGAAAAAGCCGCCAAGGGCCTCCCCATCCGCAGCACCCTCACCTCCTGCTTCCGGTCCATGCTCACCCAGCCCGCGGCGTTCTTCACAAGTGTCCCGTTTTTATTGATCTATACCCTCTACACGTCGACGTACCTCACGGCCAACGCTATCGATACTCTGACCTCGACGCTCCGCGATAGGCCCTTTGAGACTGTTTTCCCGGGAACGGTCAAGTTTTTGACGACTACGGCTGTGAATATGGGGATTTGCGTGTATAAGGATGCGCGGTTTGCGAGGATCTTTGGGGCCGGCAACAACACCGCGTCTACGACAACCAGCAGTGGTACAAATACAAGTACAAGTGCAGGTGTTGGTGTTGGTGTAGCCTCCGGCGGGGTGACATGCCACCCATCCAGCACGTCAGCCTTGAAGGTCCCCAAGATAAGCTACGCCCTCTTCTGTCTACGGGATAGCATCACCATCTTCGCGTCGTTTAATGTGCCTGCGCTACTTGCGCCGAGCATCCCCGATGGGATTGTGGCTACGGCAGGGGGGAAATCTGCGCTGGCGCAGTTTGCGTGTCCGGCTCTGATGCAGTTCGTCAGTACGCCGATGCATTTGCTGGGCTTGGATTTGTATAATCGGCAGCCGGTTGGCGGGCTGGGGTGGAGGGAGAGGGTGGGCAGGATCAGGAGGGATTATGTGGCGAGTTGCTTTGCGAGGATGGGGAAGATTGTTCCTGCGTATGGGGTTGGTGGGGTGGTGAATGTTAGGATGAGGGAGGGGTTGATGAGACGCTTGTCTGCTTCGTAATGTTTGCTCTGGCATGGCGTTGGCGTTGGGTTGGCGTTGGCGGGGTAGATTTCTTCTGGTTAGATATGGATTGTATAGCTGGTGTCATGTACAGATACAGCTGATAATGATTGGTTTTAGCTAGATAGATTGGGTATAGAGCTAACATCTCCGCTACCGCAATGCAGTGATTACCATCTGACAGGTCAGGTTAGCATACTTTCTTCGAATGTCAATGCAGCAGCAGGTACTTACGAGAACGGCTCCAAATGCAAATACACCTCCTCCGCCCCATCTCCCAGGACATCCCGCTGCGCCCGCGCAGCCGCATTCCGCACATCGTGCAGCATGCTCGCCGGCCCGCAGACGAAGATGCCTAGTCGCTTACCGCGCGCGCTGGACGGCGACGTACAGCCTGCAATGAAGGCAGGCAGATCCGGCCGGGGACCGTGTGTTATGCCGATCTGCGACATGCTGCTGGCGAGAGGTTTGGTGGGGGGGAGTTTACTCTCGTCATCTGTCTGCTGATGCTGCTGTTCCTGCTGAGGGGTAACGAATACCGAGGCGGAGACGTCCCCGCCTCTGGTAGAGACATTGGACGTTGAGATGCGGCTGTCAATTTCCTCAATGTACCACTCTGCCATTGACTGGTTGCGCGTTGCGAAGATGATCTGCAGAGCTGGTGTTGACGAGGAGGATGAGGCAAGCACGGCGTCCACAATACCCAGCGAGAAGCCGCCGCCTGAGCCGCCCGAGATGACAAGGACAGAGTCGAAGCGCGCGAGGTCGTTGGATGCGGATGCAGCGAGGCCGCCGTAGGGACCTTCGAGGAGGACGGTGCGCTCGGTGCCGGGGCGCTGCGCGGCGAGGCTGGCGAGTCGAGCGGTGATCCCTCCGCGGGGTTTGATGTAGAAGACCAGTTCGTTGGCTTTGGACAGGGAGGCTGCGTCGTGGGCGATGGAGGTGATGGTGAAGGGGTGGGCGGTTAGAGAGTGCAGGCCGAGCTGGGAGGCGTTCAAAAAGCGGAGGAAGACGTGTTGGCCTGGGGACCAGGTTATGAAGGTGGGGATTTTGATGCGGACCAGGCCACATGGGAGGACGTCGAGGGTGGCTTTGTGGCGGCCGTGGAGGAGGGTGGTGCGGATGTATGCTGCGCAGAGACTGAAGAGGTAGAGGGCACCCCCGGCGATGAAGTAATCCCTGCTACGTCAGCTTAGCTGTCTATCAGGTAGATAGAAGCGATAATACCAAGATGTGAGACGAAAGTCACAGTGGAAGAAGAAGAAGAGGACGAAGAGCAGTGCCACGGTGACGTGCGTTGCTTTGAAGAACTCGTAGTATCGGTTTCTACAGTCGTTAGGCCGAGACCTCGTCTGAGAGGACCGAGACAAAGGACTCAGACTCACCGGATAGCCGGCAAAGACATGAAGGTCAAATACGCCTGGGGAATCAGCGCCGCAACTCCAGTCCAGTACGTAACCTCCGTCTTCCACTGCTTGACCATATCGCCCTTGTCGATATGGACAATGATGAAGGGAAAGGTATGGATCAATGCCAGGACGAACATGGTGTAGCTGGCCCACTGATGGAAGACCTGCAGCTTTTCATGCGGTACACCAGTGAGCATTGAGATAAGATTCGCTTTCGTTCCCAGGACCCTATACAATCAGCCAAGTCCTGACAGAGCATGTACTTTGTACTCACAGCACAAAAGGAAGAAGGCCCAAGGCCATCCACCCCGTCCTCGTCGCGATCGGCGGACTACCTCCATAGGAAACCGTAGCCGTATTAGGCCAGTAGTATGGCTTCGGGCCAAGGGTCATGGCTAGTAATGTCAGTCGCAAATCAAGTAGTCGACCTGGTATACACCCACCAAAGAAGAAAACAAATCCCACCAGTCCTAGGAGCATCACACCCAGAGACGGAGACCAGTACCGCAAGGACGGTATCTGGTATCCCTGATAGGACAGATAGCGCATGGCAGCCGTCGTCTTCCGCCAGACAGCACTGCGCTTCACGGGCAGAGGAGCTCGCCGGGAGAGGAAGTGCGCTATGGCGAAGACTGCAATGGTCGCACACATGAAGTAGACGGTGTTCAAGGCGTAGACATGATCCGCTTCGTACCTGAGTGTCATTAGATTACTGAAGCGTCATCAGAAGCTTTGTAGAAGGGTAGATAGATACCAGTATCGCCAGTGGCCACGACGGTAGGCGCACTGCTCCGGACTCAATTTGCAGGTGTCTTTCCGGGAAGAATGAAGCATCACAGGCTGGTCTAGCCATGGGAGGCCGGAGCCTGCATCGTCAGACATGTCCATCATCTTGGTAGTCAAAGACGATCACGACAGTAGATCCTGCAGTCGCGATACCTGATCTGTTCTGTGTCAGTTGAGATGGAGATGATCTGACTTGGTTGGGATTAGACAGAGGAGAACAAACTCTGCAGACTGCCGGGACAGAAGGAACGCTAACAGCTGACCAGAGTCATGCTATTCCTTAGTATACTACCTGGGCCATACTAGAGTTAGATATAAGAGTCAGGTAAAGTAGCTTCAATGACCTAGGTAGTATCGTTGAATGCTTCAGGGCCGTAAATGCTGGTCGCTGATTGGTGCAGACATGCTCACAATTGAGCACATTTCCAGCCTGTTAGCGTCGAGTGTGGACCATCTTTCTTTTTTTTTCCCCTTCTCTTCAGATGATATTAATCTATTTCTTTTTATTTATTGTGTTAATTGGCCTATGGCTTTGAGCAGATTTGCGCTGAATCCGTGCGTTGGTTGCAGACAGAGACACCGTGGATCAACCTTAACTGAGAGGGAAAACGGAAACATCGAAGAATGAAAAATGGAAAAAGAAGATAGAGCATGATGGCATAATCTCATAACACTAGTCATAGTCATACTACGAACGTAACAAATACCAGCACATATCATCAACCCACTTGCAATGGGACACTCTCAACGGAAATCGTCGACGTCATATGTTCACTGCCAGTGCTAGTGCCATTGGCAGTGCAGGTGCTCACTTCGTTCTCTCCCCACAGCCCATGATCCCTCAGAGCTTGATACCCTCCCCTCAGACTATCGGCCTCGATGCCCTTGGCTCGCAGAATGCTCGTGGCCACCCGGGCTGTATCACCATGATAGCAAATGACCAAGACATGCTGGCCACGGAGCTTACTCAGAGCCTCTTCTGCGTTGAAAAGGGTCTCGAGTTCTAGCCATTGGGCTTCCAGCACGCTGGGGTCTGCGAATGGCTTTGGAGTATGCGAGTCCAGGCTGCGAAGGGGGATGTTGACGGATCCCGGCAGATGCCAGGTGGAGTAATCTGCTGCCGTTCTCAGGTCAAGCACGCAGCAAAGTGGTCTGAGCTCGATGTCCCGCAGAAGACTGTCCGAGAGCGAGCGGGGTGTCTCGTAGAAATGCGTGAAGAGGACGATGGGGCTTCGTTCCCAGCTCTCGTCGTAGCGGTAGATGTCGACTGCGCTGAGATTCTGCGACAGTCAGTATGATCATGTCAATCAGAAGATACACCAGCCAGACTTACCTGGTTCTTGATGGGATGGAATTTCTCCTTCCCCAGTTTGGAAAAGTACTCGCCAATGTACTGGTAGGGCAGGTCGCAGCAGATAAAAACACAATGGACTAAGCCATCCGGCCCTGCTAGCTCAGCCAGCGTCCCGGCCTGCTTGCGTCTCTCCAGCAGCTGAAACAATCCCTGTAAATTGAATCCCGACGACGGGCCACAGACGATCCCCTCGCGGCACAGATCCAGCGACAACGAGAAGGAATCAAACGAATTGACTTCCTCAATGGCATCAACCGCCTCTCTCCAAGGAAACTCGACTGGTTTCAGGAGCGCCAACGACCGCGGGCCCGGCACGCGGTCCCCAGCCGCCGTGCACACCCCCAGCCGCAACACCGACGGCTTGTTCTCCTTGAAGAACGTCCCCAGCCCGGTCATGGTGCCGGACGTGCCCATTCCGGCGCAAAGCACATTGATCTCCGGAAGCTGCTTGAGGATCTGCGGGCCCGTCCAGCGCACATGCGAGCCCCAGTTATCATTGTTCTCGTACTGGTTGGGGTTGAGGATCTCGTCGGACTCCAGGCCCATCTTCCGGGCACGCTGTATCCCGCCGCGGTCGTCAAACGGTTCAGGCTGGCTTGGCCCGCCGAACAGGGTGATATCCAGTCCGAAGAACTGCATGAGTTTTAACTTGGCGTCGCTGGTCTTGTTGCTTAGGAAGGCTCGTGTGTCGTGGATGCCGTGCATGACGCGGGCGATCATCGACATGGAGATCACCGTTGACCCGGAACTATACTCGATGATGGTCTTGGTTTTGCCCGGGACGACTTTCTTCTCGAGCATGTTTAATGCTGCGGTTCGTTAGTCGGTAGCTATCATGGTCCTGAAAGAACTCTTACCAGGCATTGCCTTGACATTGTTGGCTGGATGCATCGACATCATTTTGGCGTAGATGCGCACGCCATCCTGATGGTAGGGATTTAGGTACTCTGGAACCTCCACCAGGGGAAGAGGAGGCTGACAGTCGGGGTCAAAGTACTTCCTGAGGGCATCAGGGCCCCGGTACACGTTCAACCCGTTTGCAGCCATCGTTTGCTACTGACAACAAATGTAAACGCTAAGCAAAGCATTAAGACGCAGATGCAGATGCAGACGCAGAAGCCCCGGTTTTATACGACAGACCCCTTCTGCAGTGACAAAACGCAATATGCCCGACAGCAGAATGACCCACCAGCCGAGCATCACTGCAGCCAGAAGGAGAAGATCCATCTGAGCAGATTCCGCTCTGTAATGAGCTATTTTCTGAAACGCAGGGCTGATCTCTGCAGGTTTCTTCCTCGGGGAATGCCCAGACTACCTTGGAGGCGGATGTTCGCCTACAATTACCGTGATAGACCGAGAAAGAGTACCTGGGGGCCGTAGACGAATGATCGACAGGGTTTCTACTACACTATTCAATGTCAACTTCCATGATTCGTGGTGTAGGGTAGGCAACAGACCCGTTTATGGGTGTTGGCACCTCCAAGGTCCTGAAGAATTCGGACGGCAATTGCCTCCAATGAACACAATGAATCAACTGTGCACGGTGTTTCTGCAGCCGAATTAACCTACCTACTATCAAATAGAGTAATTAATTAAGACACGCACGGGGACCTTGGTGAGTGTTTTTGCGCACATTTTCCTGTTTAGTGCGAGATGGCGTCTGGATGCTGCAGATCGTCCGTCCAGACCCGCTTCGTATTATCAATGACGAGAGTTGCATTTTCTCACCAAATGGAATGACCCACGGGTACTCGGAGAATAATCACGTCGTTGGGCTCTGCAGTGCACGAGCCAGATCATCGTTGCCCTCGTGGTGCATTCCAACTTTAAAACCCAGTTCCCATTCCCGCTGTAGCCGTCAAGATCAGCTTCCTGGTTGATTAGAGACGTAGCAAGCACCATGCCAGACACGCTGATCAGTCAACGACAGGAGTCAAGCCCCCCGAGCTCCTCTGGAACAGTCGTAGAGGTGACAGAAGGTACAGAGACTAAGACAGCAGGGCAACATGTCTTCAACGAGCAGACAAACTATGTTCCTAGGAGTACCATCATCACGGTGAGTGATCATCACCACAATATGAGCCAGAAAACTGAGACAAGCAGATCTTCCTCGCATGCTCGACAGTCGACCTCGTCGCCTTGATGGACCAGACGACCCTCGCGGCCAGTTTGTCCATCGTCGGCAACGCCCTGAACGCCAGCGACCAGACGTCCTGGATCTCCGGCGCCTATTTTGTGTTCGTCAAATCCTCGTATCATAAAGACCTGCGTCCTGCTGACAAGCCAGTACATCCACCTGCTTCCAACTGCTCTATGGCCGCCTCTCCGACATCTGGTCCCGCAAATACGTCCTCTTCACCGGCCTCGCCATCTTCTTCTTCGGCTCGCTGGCGGCCTCCCTCGCCCAAACAGCCACCCAGCTCATCATCTTCCGCGCCTTCACCGGCATCGGCGGCGGCGGCCTCATGACCGTCGCCCAGATGATCGTCAGCGACGTGGTCCCGCTGCGCGAAAGGGGTAAATACCAGGGTATTCTCGGCGCGGTGGTCGCGATCGCGAACGGCATCGGGCCCGTGATCGGAGGCGCGCTCGCATCCGCATCGATCGAGAAGGAGTCGTGGCGGTGGATCTTCCGGCTCAATCTCCCACTCACGGTGCTCACGACGCTGTGCGTGTTCTTCTTCATGCCCCTGCGCAAGGTCACGGGCGCGTGGAAGGTGAAGCTGGCGGCGGTGGATTTCGTCGGCGCGGCGCTGGCACTCGGCGGGACGGCCGTGCTGCTGCTGGGCCTGAACTGGGGCGGAGGGGAGTATGCCTGGGACTCGGCGCATGTGATTGCTACCCTTGTCGTGGGCGTGGCCGTCTGCGTGGCGTTCGTGCTCTGGCAGTGGAAGGGGGCCGCGTTCCCGCTTGTCCCGATGCATATCTTCCGCTCGCGGATCGTCAACGGCGCGTGTCTGACCATGTTTGTCAATGGGTGGAATTTCCTGGTGCAGGTGTACTATATCCCGACCTTCTACCAGCTGGTCTTTGGGTATTCAACCGTCAAGGCCGGCGCCATGTTGCTGCCCATCACGCTGTTGCAGAGTATGTCTCTCTCCTTTCCTTGCAGACAGACACGAGCTGATAGATGGTAGCCGCCAGTAGTACCGCCTCCGGGCTCGTCGTCCACTGGATAGGCCGGTACAGGGAATGCATCCTCTTCGGCTGGATGATCTGGGCCGTCGGACTAGGTCTCTTCTCGACGCTGGACCAGTCATCTGGTCTGGGGAAGCAGATCGGCTATGGGATATTGACTGGTGTGGGTGTGGGCAACACCCTGCAGCCGTACGCTCACCCTGCCACCCCCATCTCCACTGCCTCACTAATAACCCTCACAGCGCCCTGATCGCAATCCAAGCCGGCGTCGACCGCCGCGACATGGCCGTCGTAACCTCGTTCCGAAAGTATGTCCTCCTTTCCACCTATAGCCAAGAACAGCCACACTAAACTCTGCACAGCTTCGTCAGAAACCTAGGCGGCACACTCGGCCTAGCCGTCGCCGGAACAATCATGTAAGATGCCATGTCATGCCTGCACATCCACCAACGCAACCGCCACTAACACATGCAGAAACAACATCCTCTCCTCCTCGATCTCGAGTCTCGGATTAACGGCTTCGGAAACAAGATCCTTCCTGTCCAGTCCGCAGAATTATCTCTCTGGTCTGTCGGCGGACGAAGCAGAGCGCGTGCGTGCCTTGGTCATCCCGGCGTATAAGCGTGGCTTCAGGATCATTTTCGTGATCGGGGGCGCATTGGCGGCATTTGCGTTCTGTTTGGCGTTTGCGCTGATGCCGCAGGTTGAGTTGAACAGAGCCGATGATGCGAAATTGAAGGAGGAGGCGAAGAGGAGGGTGGCCGGTGCGGATGATGAGAAGAACACTTGCTAGCTGTCAGTCTCGATTAACTGTACCGTGGTTTAGAGGTGATAGAGTGGTAAACTGGAAAAATCGAACTTCCATTATTAATTCAGTCAGGAGGAAAAAAAGGTATCCAGGTAAGAGTAGTCATCACGTCGTCAAATCCAAAACAATCTGGCCCAACTTCCTTTTGTGTACCCATGCCCATGCCCATGCCCATGCCCATGCCCATGCCCCAGGTTGAACGAAACAATCCAACGCTCATCAGATGTATAGCAGGCAGATGCAACAAGGCAGAAAAGTCATATCTCATCAATAACGACCACCTGCTCCACCACCCAGTCCACCAAGGCCTGTCCTTCCAGTTTCCACTGCCCATCATGCCACACCTCGTTGAGCCAGTATCCCCAGCCCTTGCCCTGATGCAACGGGAGCCCCCAGGGTTTTCTGTGAGTGTCTGCTGAGAAATCGTTGTTGACTTGCAGAGCCCCAACTGCTACCCCAGCGGCCGAGGCGCCCTGCCGCGCGCGCCATTCACGTTCCGCTCGCTCGCCTGCTCGGCGTGCAACAGACTCCTCGTCTTCCGCTTGGTACAGATCGCATTTATTGCATTCGGTACATCGGGATCCCGGATTGATGCGAAAGTGCTCGCAGAAGTGCTTGTAGCCTTCCTCTGCATCTTCCCCATCAAGGCCATTCCGGTCATTGTCGACAGGATCTTGCCCAGCCGGTGCGACGTTCTCCTGATTGAAGATGCCAGCTACAAGGTGAGGCACTCGACCCTGTCCTGCCGCCGGAAGAGACGACCCTAGGGCTTTGCGGCAGAGATAACACATCGAATATCCGCAGACGCAGGTCAATTTGTTGCAGCCGGACGACTTGACAAAGGATAAGCCGCACCGAGGACATGTGCGCTTCACTGCAGCTGTGCGCGCGGCCTCAACAGTAGCCCGAAGGTCGAGCAACAGGGGCTCATGACAGATGTGAGGATCTCGCCACGGTTTCTGACATGTGATGCAACTGACGCGACGGCAAAGAGGATTGGCACATGTGAATCTTTTCGGTCGAACCTTGAGGCACAGATTGAGAAGCGAGTTCTTGAGGATAGTCGGCACAGCCGTAGGATCTAGTAGATATAGAATGATGAGCGGGATAGCGAGCAAAGGTACCATATCGAGAAGTATAACAGTCATCAAGATCGTAGACAAGAGCCCATCACGGCGAAAGTGCCAGGCAATCCCCTTGGAAGAAGGATGGTAAACAGGATCGACCTCGGCGTAAGAGCAGAACGGACAGCGGACAAGTTTCAAGTGCGACTTCATCAGAGACTCCGAAGCCAGCCGAGTCTCGAATTTGCAGTAAGTCTCCAGGCCAGCCTTTTCCATGATTATAGCTCGCTTGACCGCCTCAGGATCCAAGCTGCCCTCGCAGCTACCGTGAGCAATGGGCGCGATACACTTCAAAGTCGATCTCTCCACGTCCACCGACTTCCCCCACCCTTGTCCAAATAGAGCCTCATGGACAGTCCTCTGTATGCAGCTATAACAAATGATGTGGGAGTCGACCGAGCAAGTGGATATTTGTTCAAACGTCACATCAGCCAGACAGCACTCACACTCATACAGCGCATCAACCGCCTGTGCTTCGCGCTCATTGAGCTCCTCGGCCAACTTGAAGTCTTTCTCCTCCTGTTCCTCTCGTCTCACTCTCAGCAAAGGCGCAAGCAGAGCGTCGTATAACTCCCTGTCCAGTTCGACGCATCCCGTCTCCTTCAGCCTAGGCAGCAGTTCCCCATCTGCACGCCGCTGCCACACCACCAGAGGATGCTCGTCCTTATCCTTCTTGCGTTTAAACGAGGGAAAGATATTATTGAGCGTCGCCCGCCACGTCCGCCTCGAGAGCTCCTTCAGCGTCGGCCGCGCCCGCATGTAGCAAAAGTTCGCCTCGGCCAGCACCGCCTCGATCGTACTCCTGCTCAGGCCACTGAACTCCTTCGCCAGCACGCCCTTCACAGAAGCCTTGTACTCGTCGCTCCGGAACCGTTCCTCGGGCGGCACCAAACGCTCATCGTGTTCTCGTGAAACATCACCATCACCATCACCCGCTTCGCCTCCGGTCCCTGTCGGGACGTTCCACCGCCCAGCCACCCATTCATTCTTATGCCGGAGAAGCTGCTCCACGCACACCTGCAGCCTGCTCTGCCCGTCAAACCGCACCAGCAGTTCGCGGAAGACCTCGATCTTCACATCTGGGAAGATCCGGGCGAGTGTTTCCAGCGCATTGTTGAGCTCTTCCTGCTCCTGCCTCGCGTTCTCGGCCTGTGTGTTCGACGTCAGGGCTGCGATGGCACGCGATCGAGAAGTATTCCCAAACGGGTTGTTTCGGAGGGCTTCGCTGAGGGTTGTGGATTGATTGTTGCTATTGCTGCCGCTGCTGCTGCTGTTGCTGGACCGGAGCGCGGGGGAGGCCGTGGTGGATCTGGAGAAGCTTGGAACAGGTAGCGAGAGCACCATCGTGGCAACGACGAAAACTCCGCTACATGATCAATGTGCAGATGAGACGCAGTTCGAATTCAGCTCAACTGCCTAGCGGTGATAAGATCCGTGGCATCCGTATTTGATGGTTAATGTGCTGGTTGTGGGGAGTGAGTGTCAGGTCGAGGTGTCGTCCTCGGTGCTGATGGGGCAGGTTACATAACCATGAAATCGAGGCGTTAGGCGTCCTGCCACCAACAAGTCTAATCACTCACTGTCCAAAGACTACGCAAAAATCGATTGACTCATAGAGGCTGATCGAACACAATAATATACTCTGAATATGCAAATGTATTGTTCGATCGTTTCAAATTGAGCTTAGCAGACACGTAAACAAGACATCAATGCATTGCTTCTGTTGGTAGAAAATCATGACTTATATACAAAAGCTCATAGACCATATTAACCCAGTACGCTTTTATCTTACAATTTGGCCTTGGCTCCCTCCAACAACTCAGCACCAGCGCCCAGGATGGCGGGCTTGCCGGTCTCTACAACAGTCGTCTGGAAGATAACTGTGTTTCCTTCCTTCCACATCTCTGTCTTCAGGGTCTGACCGGGCAGCACGACACCGGCGAAGCGAACCTTCAGGTTCTTGAAAGCACCGAACTTGTTGAAGACATGCTTGCCAGAGACACCCAGCGAGCACAGTCCGTGGAGAATAGGAGTCTTGAAGCCACCGACCTTGCTGAACTCGGGATCAATGTGCAGAGGGTTGCGGTCACCGTTGAGACGGTACAGAGCAGCCTGGTCCTCAGACGTCTTCTCCTCGATCACAACATCAGGCTGGCGCTTGGGAGGGTTGTAAGCAGCCGTGGCACCCTTGGGGCGGGGAGCAGTGGGCTTGGGCGAACCACCGAAGCCGCCGCTGCCACGGATAAAGACGGTAGACTCGTTGTAGAACAGGTCCTCTCCGGTCTTGGCATCCTTGGTGGTGTATCCAGCAACAACGAGAGCGGCCTTACCCTTGTCAACCACGTCGATGAGCTTGGGGTATGTCAAGGTCTTGGCCTCGGTAGGGATGGGGAACTTGCGAACTTCCATGTACTGCTCACCGTGCAGCAGCATCATGGGAGAGAAGTTGGCCACGATGTCGTCCATGTTCCAGGGGGTGGCAGTGTTGAACCAGGGGATCACACCGAAAGTGGGGAGAGCCTGGAAGTGTTCATTGTTCTCGTACACCAGAGGAAGGTCAGTGCGCTTGGCACCAACGCTGAGGTTATAGAGGATGACGTCGCGGTCAACGTAGTCGAAAGCGGTGCCCTCAGTAGTGGCCTGCTTGGCCTTCTCAATGTTGGCGAGGATGTCGTTGCCACCTTCACCACCACTGCGGTTGGACATGTTGGCCATCACCTTCTCGGTACCAGCCTGGCTGTCCTCGGGGTGGTCAGCACGACCATCATCGAAGTCAGTGATCTGCTTCCAGTTCTTGAGAACAGCTTCAGGAGTCAGCTTCACGTCCACAGGGAATCCGTGGCCGCCAGAGCGCTGCCAGCGAGTACTGGAGAACCATCCGCTGCCGCACTCGTAGAGACCCTTGCTGCTGGGCTCCGGGCACATGTCAGAGCAGAGAAGGGCAACCATCGGAGCAACATAATCGGGCTTGAAGGCCTGAACCATCTCCTCGGGCATAATGGTACGGGTCATGTTGGTGCCCGCGTTGGGCGCAATGGTGTTGACCTTGATGTTGTACTTGGCACCTTCAATGGCCAGAGCGCGGGAGAGCCCAAGGATACCCAATTTCTAGACCACGATTAGCAAGCCCGTACGCTTTCGATGAACATGATTAAACGGGAGGTCTTACCGCGGCAGCGTAGTTGGCCTGTCCAAAGTTGCCGTAGATACCGCTGGTGCTAGCGGTGTTGACAATACGACCGTACTTCTGCTTGAGCATGTGGGGCCAGGCGGCCTTGGTCACCTTGTAGGTACCACGCAGATGAACGTGGATAACAGCGTTCCAGAGATCATCGTTCATGTTGGTGAAGGCCTTGTCACGAAGGATACCGGCGTTGTTGACCAAGATGTCAATGCGACCGAAAGCATCAATGGCAGTCTTGACGACGGCGTCGCCATCCTCGCAGGAGGCCTTGTTGCCAACGGCCTTTCCGCCCATCTTCTTGATCTCCTGGACGACAGGTTCGGGATCGACCAGGTCGTTAACCACCACGGAGGCACCGAGCTTAGCGAACAGAAGACAGTACGAGCGGCCCAGACTAAAGAAATCAGCGTATGATCCTTAAGGATTGAAAAAATCAGATAATACGCACCCATTACCACCGCCAGTAACGAGGGCAACCTTGCCCTTCAGATCAGGCTCTTCTCCAGTAGGAGCGCTAGGTGTCTTCATGCCATTCTCCAGGAGGCTCATGAAGTCGGCGGGGCCGGTAGGGTACTCCGGCTGAGAGTAGTCGTAGACATCCTTCCACTTTCTTGCAATGGCTCCGGGAGTCAGGGAAGCGTCGGTCTTCAACAAGGCACCCTTGGCACGCTCCCACCGGAGCTTGGCCATGTGGCCACCGCCGACCTCGAAAATTGAGCCACTCTCAGTGGTATTTGAGGGGTGGACCAGAACAGCGACAAGGGGAACAATCCAGTCGGGCTTGAGGTTCTCCAAAACTTCAGGAGGCATAATTGTAGCGGTCATACGGCTCGCAGCTGTTGGAAGTCAGACACCGGGCTGAGAAGTATATAAGATCCTTGTTTCAAGACATACCGATGGGAGCGATAACATTTGCAATGATGTTGTACTTGGCACCCTCCTTCGCAAGGGTTTCAGTGAAACCGACCTGGCCGAGCTTGGCGGCTTCCGATTCATTAGCTTCAGTGACATAGTCTCAAGCGCCAAGCAACTCACCAGAGTAGTTCGCCTGGCCAAAGTTGCCGAAGAGACCGGCTGCCGAAGCAGTATTGATGATACGACCATACTTTTGTTTCCGGAAGTGAGGCCATGCTGCTCTTGCGCACTGAACAGGGAAATCATCGTCAATACCCTTGCGAACAAAGCGAACTTGATAATTGCTAGGCTAACCTTGTATGCACCGTAGGTGTGAACTTTGTTGATCAGATCCCAATCCTGATCCTTCATGTTCTTGAAGCTGACATCACGGAGGATACCGGCGTTGTTGATCAGAACATCGATCCGGCCGAAGTTCTTGATGGCTGTCTCAATGATGGCTTCACCATTCTCAACGCTGTCGTAGTTGGCTACTGCCTTGCCGCCAGCCGCTCGAATCTCCTCAACTACTACATCAGCAGCCTACGTAGAAATTGAGTTAGTAGCTGTCATACAACCACCGTGTTTGATAAATGATCCTTCGTACCTTTGATGACGCCCCCTCACCGGAGTGGGAAACACCCAGATCGTTTACAACGACATTGGCACCTCTGGAAGCGAAGAAGGTAGCGTAGGCCTTTCCAAGACCACCACCAGCTCCTGTAACAACGACAGTCTGGTTGTCAAAGCGCAGCTCAGACATATTGAACGGGGTTTAAGAGGAAATGAAGTGAGGGTATCAAGAAGGTCGAACAAGGTAGTGCACTCAGCACACAGTTCTGTTCAAAGGAGGAGAGAAGAAAGAGGACAAAGGACTAAGAAGACGACTCGTCGGAAGGATGAGGAGTGAGGTTTAAAAGGAAGAAATTCTGGGGAGCCGGGGATACCGTAGGGGATTCGGAACTGGATCTGGGGGAAGAGGTGAGGTGGATAAAGGTGAAGACGGTCGCAACGCTCGGCAAGCTCCAAAGGAACCTCGGTATCTTCCAAGTGAAGCTCGGAGGTTCCGCTGCCAGGCGCCAAGCGGATTTGGCTAGGCAGATGATGCGTTTTCACATGCCGATGCTCGAGTCATCAGACGTTTGTCGTCTTTCTATTCTCTCCTACCTGCTGCGTCTACTTCCACATGCTCAATGCTCGTTTCCTACACTTGCATCATTCTTCAAGATGTACCACTCTATTTCCTCTATTTCCTTGCGATCTTAGTGGCAGAAGAGCTTAGTTCGAGGGACCATCTGCTGACTCATCGAGCATGTGCCTGGACGTCGTTGTCACGTGGGACACGCGGGGTTAATCACTGATGGTTTGTATAACTCCTGGTCCTCAAAATGATATCGACAGCAAGTATGGTCAGCTCTGAAAGGAAGTCCCAGAAGAGATTTCTTCATGGCTTTGCTCAGACGCGGGATGTCATTCAGGCACAATCTTATCCCGTCGGGGAAGTTCGACTACCCCAGATTTCGGTCGGCTCTCGTCCGAGAACAAATAATATATACCTAAGCATCACAATACCGGAGTAAGGTAGTCATAGTAAACATACACAGCACCTAGATCGTCAAAGTGTTGCAAAATGCCTGAAATCATCGACGATAAATCGCAATACTGCATCCCATTCCTACTGAAACGGCTGGAAGCCCACCAGGCACGCTATGGGAATGACCCAAGCAATACCCCGCCATTCTTCCTAGGACTCAATGGCGTCCAAGGAGCGGGCAAGACTGTGCTGGTGAGCTGCTCGAATTCCCCAGTCGTGTTCTGTATACTGAGCCAGAGGGAAATACCAGGTCTCAATCCTTCAATCCACCCTTCGAGCACCTCCATATTCCCTCCCGGTCGTCACCATCTCCCTGGATGATTTCTACCTCACCCATGAGCAGCAACAGACACTAGCCAAAACCTTTCCTTCCAATCCTCTTCTCCAGCATCGCGGTCAACCGGCAACTCACGATCTCCCTCTAGCCGAAAAAGTCTTTGAGTCTCTCCGTGCTGGCCGTCCTACCGCTATCCCGCAATATGACAAGTCCGCTTATTCGGGACAGGGCGATCGTGTACCCGAGAGCCAATGGGAGACAGTCAACGGCGACGGACAAGACAAAATCAAAGTTGTTATCTTCGAAGGCTGGTGCGTTGGCTTCCGCGCCCTGGATGATCGTGTCCTCAGGGAGAAGTGGGAGGCTGCAGTCCGCCAGAAAGACCAGGGTGGTTATGATGGCCGCTTAGGGCATGTGAAGTTTGAAGATGTCAAGGCCGTCAATGACGCCTTGAGGAAGTACGATGTATTGACCGAGTTCGTGTCCTTGCCCTCTTGGATCTCTCTAGACGTTGATGCTAACCGTTCGAGCGCAGCCGGCTCGACGCATTGGTTCATATGTGAGTGCAACCCTCCTTCACTCTATATCATATCAATACCCTCTTGCTAAACATCTCCAAGCGATGCGCACGACCTCCACTTTGTCTACGACTGGAGACAGGAACAGGAGAGAACGCTGCGTGCAACCAAAGGAACCGGAATGACTGAGGAGCAGGTGTCTCATTTTGTTGACGGCTGTATGTATATCGAACTGGCGGACGATCGTCGGCTAATATATGACAGATTACCCGTCTTATGAACTCTTCACTGAGGCACTTCGAGAAGGTGCCTTCAAGCCTGCGTCGAACTCAAATGACACCAACTGGCAAGGCAGACAGCTCCGTCTGATTGTCAATAAGGAGAGGAGGGTCGATGAAGTCATTGAGATTTAGCTAGTCGGCTACGGGCTCGGAACCCTGTACGTAGATTGAGTGTCTTCGCTCTCGCAAGGACGACCGAAGAAGCGATATATATATACGACCACAAAAGAATGTACATACCAGGCATACGCACAACTGTCTATAGGACATTTGATGAAGGCCTTAATATGAGAATCCACTATGAGTTGCCTAGGACTTATCAATTTTAGCCAAAAAGTGTTCAGTTTGACGTTGGAAGGTACATGATCCAAAAGCCGAGGCTGCGAAATCGATTCGGGTGTATGACAATGCATTAATAACCGAGCAGAGAAGACCCGCAGCACATAGAGCAAGGTAGTACGGAGTCCCTATGTCCAGGCAGGCCAAAACAGGGAGAAGCTACGCTACTCTACGATGAATTATGACTAGAGGTTATGGGTTGCTTGAACTTTTCCATTTTTTGTACCCGAGAATCATAGACCATTATACGCTAATCGAGAACAGCCCATGTGAACCAAACAACCCAGGATAGAGAACCGCCGTGGAGAAGATTTGCATCTAGTTCATCTGTCTGATGAGAGCGTTGATGTTCTCCTCACGGTTACCAGTGTCACCACCCTCGATGAAGTGCTTGAACTTGCGGGTGCGGAAGCCACCAGTGGGGTTGGAGAGCTTGAAGGGCCAGAGGAAGTTGTTGGCCTGCTTGAAGTTGGGGCCAACGGTGTAGATCTCGTGGATCAGATCCTCCATGCAGACAATGCCGTACTTGCCAAGGGCCTCCTCAATGACCTGGTTGTCGGTAAGAGGGACACGCTGCTTGTTGACCTTTCCGTAACCACGCTTGTAGATGAGCTCACGGACGCTCTTGAGGTTGGGGTAACCGTAAGCGATGTAGGGGTTGATGATGGTCAACATCTCCTGGGTGGCCTTGGTGAGACGGATGAAGGTACCGTTGTTGATCTGGACCAGACGGAGAAGCTGCAGGATCTTGCGAGGCTGAGGAGCAATCTTGTTGATACTGCAGATCTATTAGCACCAGGGTAAGCCAACTGAAGGCTCAAGTGAAACATACCCCTTGATACGGACAACGAAGACCAGCTTGGGCTCGTCAGGGACGTAGAAGTTACCCTGCTGGCGAGCAACGCGAGCAAGGCGGATCTTCTCACGCTCAGCATCGCGGTACTCCTTGACGTAGGACTCAGCACGCTTGAAGATAGCCTCACGCTTCTTCTTGTTGGCCTGAAATTTGCAAGTCAGCGGCATGCCTTTCCCAAAATATCACAGAAGAAATCAATTGGAAAAGGTATTGTCAGCCCCGAAAGATGGTTAACGAAGCGACAGCATCGACCCGAAGGTCTAGTCGCGTAAGTGGAAATTGTATCATCACACAATTGAATAGTTTGAGAAACAGGTAAAGAAAATTGCGAAAAACTAACCTCCTTCTTCTTCTGGGCCTCCTCGCGGGCAGCAGCGCGAGCCTGCTCCTGGCTCTTGCGCTTCTTCAGGAGGGTCTCAGGGACAAGGACCTGGTCCTGGGTGGGGACGGTGCTGGCTTGAGGTCAGTATAGTCTGTCCATGCAACCAAACGAAAGCAGGTATTCGCCGAGTGTAAGAATTGCAGCTATAGTGCCACATTCTCAACTGAAGGCAGATATAAAGAAAACTCGACGACATCAATTTGATCGGTGAGGCATGGCGTTGCACTGAAATCACACTACCGAAGTTGCTACTAGTCGCAGCATTCTCAGCCTGACGTTCACAATTTCAGTAAGAATGGCAAGCATTATCCTCAGCCGACAATACCCCGAGCATTGCGCTCAGGAAGTTATGTTGTCGCTGTTCGCACCGATTCCTGACAATCTGTTCTCAAGACTGTCGGAGGGCACGATAGCTCACAACAATGCTTTTCAAGGAGAAGGCTAACGACGCTTTCAACCTCAATACCCCAGGTCATTCATCATCCAGGCTCCATGCTTCCAGTGTTCAAATGGGAGGAGAGCTTATGTTGGAGAGAAGGCCACGGGAAGAATCGAGCTGGTGCCCAGCGACCAAAATTGATCGCAGCATCTCCAGCGAGAAGGACGACTATGAACTGAAACCTTACGGGCTCGCAGAGCGAAACAGCCGATAGGGATCAATCAAAGGGTATCATACGTAGCAGTCGAGGCCATTGCGACGGTCCGTTGATTCGCGAATTGGGCGGTTGGCGAAGGTTGTCGGGATGAGAAAAAGTTCGAGGAAGAAATCGATTGAAGACAAAATCGGTTGTGTGGGCGGATCTATCGCACTAGCCTATGTCCGGCTAGCGCAATGGGGCTTTTTCTCCTTTCTCGTTTTAGTCAAACACTACCCTTATCTATCAGGGAAGGAGTCACATGACCGATCCGATAACGATCTGGCCATGACAACACATGTACCCCGCGGCATAACTTATTCCCCCAAGGGAGATCAGCACCATTAATTATAATGTCGACTCGTCGAGGTGTCGGACTCGGAGCGTTTGCGAATCGTACGCAAACAAGTCAATCATATGCCAACCATGGCGCCAACCTTCGCTCTGCGCACCTTGCGTCCCTCCAAACACAACTTTCCGTATTCCAGTCGTTGCTTCACACATTCGCACTAGAACATAGTTCAACGATAAAGTCGAATCCGACATTTCGAGCTGAATTCGCTCGTATGTGCAATGCTATCGGGGTGGATCCTCTTGCAGCCAGTAATGTCAAAGGGAAAAATGGCCGGAGAGGAGAAAGTGGTAGCTTCTGGACGCAGATTATGGGCGGTGATATGAATGACTTCTACTTTGAGGTTGCGGTCCGAGTTGTAGAGCTCTGCCGATCTACGAGAAGTGAGAATGGAGGCTTGCTAGGGGTTGAAGAGTGTCGAAAACAGGTTGGCAAAGGCAAAGCTATTGGGAGCGGCTTGGAGGTCACTGAGTACGGCGTCAACCTCTTTCCCATTCATTCGGACTGTGCTAACTGTCTTCTGATGCACAGTGACGATGTCCTCCGCGCTGTGAAATCCCTTGGGCCTCTTGGGTCTGGCTTCTCTATTGTGCAAGTCGGGAGCAAGCAATACATCCGCTCGATCCCCAAAGAGTTGAACACCGATCAGGCCACAGTCCTCGAGGCAATTCAGATACTGGGCTATGTCAGCGTATCCATGTTGCAGTTAAACCTGAACTGGGAAAAGGCCCGCGCACAAACTGTCATTGATGACCTTGTAGCAGACGGCCTAGTTTGGGTGGACACGCAGGGTGAAGAGGATGAATATTGGTCGCCCCAAAATCTCCTTGATGACAGTGGATGATATATCTTATACTCGGAGACGGTTCATTTATCACGAAAAGATACTTTCCTTTGGCCGATCACGGTCAAGCAACGTCGGCCTGGATAGCCGCTCACCTCGCTTCCGCCCGAACGGAGTATGCCAGGGCGCACGGGCTACCGTCCCTTCAACCGACGAGGTTGCTCGAGGCAAAAAGCAGATCGTTTCGGAGTGGAGAAACCGGTATCGGCGACCACTGTTGAAGCACGCCCGCCGGTTCATGCTCGCAACTCGGTCCCGCTTCACACATGTGTAAACCATGCTGTATCTGAATAGCTTCGATAACGGCTACGCATGTAGACATAGACATAGATATATATATATGTGTGTACAAAGGACGCTCTACTATGATATGAAGAGAGAAGCAAATGCTTTCATGTTTCCTCATCTCCAATATACATACATATAAATAGATCTAGTCTGCGGGTGAGCTGGTGGTAGACACCCAAGCCTGTCCCATGAAATATATAGCTCACTCAGAGGCGACCACAGCAATTCATACTACTCAAAAAACATCTGGATCATCGCTACTATGGAAGAACACCATTTAACCAAGATTCCTCTCTGTTCTCATTCAGTCTAGACATCGAACCATCTCTAGAATATGAATATAGGGCAAACATAACATGATAACATGAAGATAGATCGACAGCGAAGTGTCGTCGACCTGGGGCCGTAATGGAACAGGAGTAGACAGAATTTCATACGCATTTGTATTCCCAGAAAGGAGCATTAGACCATGAGAGAAAGAAACAGGATGCCATTATAAACAATCTTTTTTAAGCCTTGATAGCTCCGCCCAATGCACCACCACCAAATTGCTGTCCACCGGGCCGACGGCCTTGCTGGCCACCGGGGAATCTGGGGCCACCGCGGGCCTGACCACCGCGTCCGGATCCACGGCCACCACGGGCGCCGGCGCCCTGATCGCGCTGGAAGGCGTTGGCCATACCTTGGGTGCGCTGCTCGAGAGTCTTCTCGTTGGCTTCCAGGAGGTTCATGGACTTGTCGGCCAGCGTGACGATCTGGGACTGGAGGCGCGACAACTCGACGCCCTTGCGGAAGACGATGGCGTTGTTGACCTGATCCAGAGCAGCTGCCAGCTCTTCGTGCGAGATCATACGGCTGATGATGGCGGAGATCTTCTTCTCAGAAAGCTCGAACATGTTGGAGAGGGTGGCGATGGAGAGGCTGTCGTAGAAAGGAGCGTAGGTGAAGAGGTAGGTTCTCAGGCCCTCCTCCTGGATCTGCTGGGAAAGCATCTCCTTGATCTTGTCGGGCTGGGGCATCAGATCCCAGATCTTGATCGAGTTGAGCATCTCAGCAGCCTTCTTCCAGTCACCAGCGGCAAGGAACTTGGCGCTCATAATCACGCCGTCACGAGTGTTCTCCGCAGGACCAGTGAAGACCTGGCGCTCATTGTAATCCAACATACGGCGGAAGGTCTTGGAAATGACACGGCGCTTCATCTCGGGAGAAGAGGAAGTCTGGGCCATCAGAGGAACTTCCAGGAACATGCTGGAGGTGAGGTAGATGCACTCGAGCAGTTCCAGGTTGATGTGCATGTGGAACGGCAGCTGGCGCTGACGCTCAAGACGCTCCTGCTCCGGGGATACCGTGGAGTAGCGCTGCATAATGATACCCTGGGCCAGGAGCTCCTTTTGACGTCCACTGCCGCAGACTTCAGAAAGGGTGTTCTGAGCTTCGTAGATGAGACCGGAGCGGAAGGCGCAAAGGCCAATTTGCACCAGCGTCCGGTTGAAGAGAATCTGAGTGCTGACGTCAAAGTTGGAAATGTTCTCAGTGAGATGGGACATGAGCATCAGATCACGAGACCGGTAGTACTGGTCATGCAGGGCAAGGAAGTAAATCTGGCACAGCATCGCGCGGGCTCTGATGATACCATCGCTGTACTTGAACAGATAGTTGCACAGGGACAAAACGAGGTTCTCGACGTTGCCACTGCTAGCCCGAGGGGTAATGCTAGAATCCAGCTCTGAGGGAAGAGCCTTCCATGTGGCATCTTCAAGGATTGTGATGACCTGCGAGGGCTTGAAGTAGACGTGCTCCAATCGTCTCATGACCACCCGGTTGACACTGTCCTGTCTGGGATCGGTCTTTTCGGCTTCGTTCAAACCTTCGACGTAGGCTTGGGCGCGAACGAGATCGGTGTACAGCAGCTTCTCATCACTCAGACGCTCAATGTACTCAGCGGTGTGGGGGTCGATGTGTTGCAGGGATCTAGTAAGCTCGTCGTCGAGTCTCTCGGCGAAAGACACGATGCTACCGGGGATGTAGAGGGTCTCGCCGGGGGCGATGGTGGGTTGCTTCTCGTCATCTTCCCATTCTTCGGCACCTTCGGACACAACGTGGTCACGGTTGTTCTCCAAAACCGACAGCAGGGACGAGAAGTCCTGCTCGGCGGACTTCCACTGATCGACGGCCATGTAGTTGGCACTGGACGTGGATGTGAGGTCGAAACGCGTGGAAATGAGAGTAAGGTAAACACGGATGCGCTGATAAGGAGTCTGAGCCACCTCCAGAAGCTTCTCCATCGTCCGAATCTGCTCCATGCGGTCTGTGTTCTTCTTTCCTCGCGACTCGACGATCACACGGAGGTGCTTCAGGATGCTCTCAGGGGTGTACTGCAGAGTCTTGCCACCGCGGCCAACGGTTGCGAAGCCATCATCATCGATGGCAGCGGCGGGAGCCTCGATACGCTCCAACTTGGTGATGCGGGGAGCAGCAATAACGGGGGTGGCCTCCTCATCGTCGCTTTCCATAAAGTCCTCCTTGTCCTTCCGGTACTTGTTGATCAGGTTGGCGTAGTCCTTGTTATTCTTCTTGATACGCTGCTTGGCAGCGTTGAAGCCCTTGGCCTGGCTAGCGTTCAGTTTCTTATCTCCGGACTTCTGCTTGGCAACAGTCTCGTTCACGAAATCCTCAAGGTCGGCAACGGTTTTGATGTAAATCTTGGGAGTTGGACCAGATTGTGTGATCTTTGCAACCTGTCGGTTCAGCTTGTCGAACTCTGTTATCCCATGTCAGCCCATCTAACACATTCAACCCACCACGCATATTCCGTCTCCACACAGATAGCGGCATGTGAAAGGAACAAAACGCACCTGTCGAGATAACAGCCCAGTCGTTGATCTTCTTGGCGTTCTCAATCAGCTTGATGGTGTTCTCAAGCTCATCCAATCTCTTATCCTTGGCACTCTTGACAACCGTGACTTTCTCCTCCTCTTCCTCCTCCTCGCTGTCGGAAGCAACATCCTTCAAGAACTTCTTCGCACCCGTTTCCTCGTCGGACTCCTCCTCCTCCGAGGTCTCATCTTCCTCCTCGCTGGACTCTTCCTCCTCGGACTTTTCCTCCTCCTCGCGATCGCTGTAAAGCTCCTCCTCGTCAGACGAGCTGGAGTCGCTGTCGCTACCACCGCCGTAAAAGAAACGCGACGACATGTTTGCGGTTCGAGGGGTTATCGGACGCAAAAGGGGTTCGCGAACTTGTTCAAAAACTGGCCGTATCTGCTGATGCCGGACAGGACGCGCGGGGTGATAAGGTGGTGGACAGGGTTAACGGCCCTCTTGATCTGTTTGCCCGTGCCTGATGGCAAATTCAGTTGTGGTGAGGGTTCCTAGCCGCAGCGAGTTTGGCCGCGCGAGCCACACACGAAATTTAAGCGAGTAGGCACCTAACCGTATATGGCAGTTTGTCCTGTTTGCACCGCCTTTCCCCGCGAGTCTTTGTATCTGAATAGCCTCACAACTAATGATACCTAGCTCTCACACTTTCGTCAGTTCTATACCAATGTTTTGGAGGCTCCCGAAATGCAAATGGGACATCCTAATAGTAATATCATCAAAAGCAATACAGCAGCCTACTGCACAAGCATACCGAGCGCCATCCATGTTGGACTGGGTTCAACATGCGGTCGTGCACGGCCTTAGCTAACACTTTTTGAACTGTGACTCATTCAGACACTACTTAATATGACGGCGAGTTATTATCTTAGTGTTCCGAAACGTGAGTGGCTGGACTTTGTTTTGCCGCTGAAATACTGCAATAACAAGCATGTAGACTCGTGGCTAAAGATTATCCTCAGAACTTCCAATAGCAAGTTACGAAGTACGGTCAATCAAGTTCGAATTTTTGTGAGAAGGCACATCCTGCCGTATAATTCTTGCCAAGGAGATTAAGCTATCTTCCAGGCAGACAGACTGCTTCAGTATGGAACAGAAGGGCACGATCAGCCACTAGTCTGGATCGAGAACTATGTCCTTTCTCTGATATCCATCGGACTTTGACTTTCTAGATTTAGGTATCCAAGCTATAGCAATGGCTCTGTTGAACAGCGATGGAAGGAAGCAGAGGCAGAAAACATCAAAAGACAACAGGGGAATAGAAATTGGCCTTGCCACAAAGATAGCAATGAGAAATGGGAAAGAAAAATTTTAACACGATGGTGAGGTGAGACAGAAACAACCTTCGCAAAAACCCCTATCATGCGACTCATGACCAACGTCCGGGCACGTGACGCGACGATCTCGTTGGGAAAGGTTGCTCAGGGAAGGTAAAAGCAACCAGATCAGGAAGCTCGACTATAATAAAATGGGCCGCCTGCACCGTGGAAAGCCACACTCTAGACTGGCGAATGTATCCGGCCAACTAGACTCAGAGGCTATCTCGTCACGACGAAGGGCCTTGACGTTACAATATAACTTCGTCCCCTTCCGGTTGGACCACTTTTCGAACTGAAGATATAGCCTTTAACAAGTAGTCTCAGGAGATGCACTTGGGGCAGTGGCTGGCGTTGACATGATGAAACTGGCTGACGTCGTAAGAGCCGCCGCAGACCGAAGGGCACGGGAAGGAAAGATCGAGCACGGTACGTTCCAACGATGTAGGAAGATATCTTGGAGTAGCTCTGCGCTTTAAATTGTAAAACGCACTTGGAGCACACTCTCGCTCGAACAAAGCAGAGTTGACGGTAGAAAGTAGCAAGCTCATGTTCCAGATAACAACCAGCATTGACTGGCTGTTTGGATCTTTTGTCTGATCAGTGCCACTGGCTCTGGTTCATATAGCTGTCGCCGCCAAGGACACCGTCCTCGAGAGTCCGAATGAAGTCTCGGTTACGTTGACCGGCCCCTGCACGGCTTCCCCTGCGCCGTTGAGCATTGTTGTCGACATATCCGTCAGGAGGTGGCGGGTAATACGCTGGGCTGGGCTGGAGTCGAATGGGGGCATTCGGGTCCAGGTGGCTGGCAACGCGTTGAATAGTTGGCGGAATTCCTCCTCCCTGATGGTCCATGGTGGATGCGCGTTGGCGACCAGCTCTAGTGGTTGCTTGAGCGTAGAGACTTTGAGACGGTGCATATTGCGATTGAGGCATCTGGCCTGGCATAAGGTTCATTTGATGGCCGTAGCCCGGCGGCTGGGCAGGATATGGAGGAGGGGCGCCTTGCTGATGGCCGGTAAACATGCCGTTGTACATGGGCGGGGGTTGGCCATGAGAGGGTGTATGGAACTGGTTCATCTGCATTGAGTATGCATTCTGGGCCGCTGACTGTGCATGTGCCGCCTGGGCCGCTCGCTGTTTGCTAGCAGCCTCAGCCTGCTGTTGCTGCTGTATTCCAGGTGGAATGGTTTTGTTGAGCGAGGAATATTTCAGATTCATTGGCGGCACGAAGGGCCCTGTAAACTTCTGCTGCGTAATGAAAGGGTGCAGCTTGGCTTGTTGGGGCGACCATCGCTCAAGAGGGTTGATTGACAGCAGTCCACGAACAAAGTCGATGAAAGCAACTCGATTGTTCAATTCTGGACGAGAGGTCAGCGAGTGAAAAGATATAGCTGTCTGGAGAAACGAACCTCGCTCGATCTCGGCTTGCTTCATATTCTTCCTAGGCATTGGATAGCTTCGGATGATTTCTTCAAGCGTGGAAGCCTGGAAATACTTTTTGCTCGGTTGCTCTTTCGTGTTATGTTCCCGGGAGTATTGTTCCAGGCTTTTCAGTCGGTATGTCTTGCGACCGAACTCGTCTTGGGTCTTCTCAAAGAATTCACCTGACTGCTTGCCCATTTCAAGCATCCACGTCGGGGGTAGACCGAGCATTTCCACAATTCGACAGACCTGATTATATTCGGAGGAGCCAGGGAAAAGAGGCAGACCAAGGAAAAGCTCGACGACGATGCAACCAAGAGACCACATATCGATTGCAGACGAGTAACTGCTCGAGTTAGTTTAATGCCAGCGCGAAGAACACAGGGTACGTACGGTAAGCCAAGCAACACCTCGGGGGAACGGTAGAATCTCGACTGGATATACGTATAGACAGTTTGTCGCTCATCGCAAGCAGAGCCGAAATCGATGACTTTGATAATTGGACTCTCAAGACTATGGGAGACCGACGTTAGTCCAGGTGTTTCTCTTCAGGCACAAGTCGCTACTCACTTCTTCAGCAATATGTTCTCGGGCTTGAGATCACAATGAATCAGATGCGCCTTGTTTAGCAGACTCAATGCGTTGAGAAGTTGCTGGGCAAAAACACGGACGAGAGTCGTGCTCAAACCACGAAACTGGTTTTGCTTGATCAATTCATAAAGATTGACACTGAGCAATTCAAAGACCAGACAGAGATGCTGCCGGTGGATGAAAGTATCCTTCAGACGAAGCAAGTGGTGGTCGTCGTTCTTGTCGTATTTGCTGTTAAGCTGCACGGAAGAAGGTTAGAATACTTCGAGTAAACAAACGTTTGGAACCTACCAAGTCCAAGACCGAGACTTCCATCATACTCTGATTGAAGTATGCAGTCTTATTCTTAATGACTTTCACGGCAACAACCTCTTGGGTTTTCAGATTCTGGCACTTGACGACTTGACCAAACGTCCCCTGGCCCAACACGTCGAGAATGAGGTAACGATTCCTTAGAGAGATGTCAATACAGATGGCCTGAAAACATCAGCGAAAGAGTCGCTTGAGAAAACCCACTTGTGACCCGCTTCTTCGCTTCCAAGAATGTCGTTCACATATAGAATATAATCGCTGTCCTCATTGTCATAGCCGTCGTTTTTGACTCCCTTGCTTGGTTTCGTGAGGACACGTCTGGGATTCCGCGAAGACTCGTAATTGAAGCTTGGATTGCAGATACGGTATGTGGCCGGAAGATGGGACGTTAACGCTTGAAGGGGCTATATCTTCATTTAGCAAGAAACTGATTTGGGTGGTCGATGAACACTTACACTAATGAAACCACCTTCTGGATTGGCACGTCTGTATGGAGGCTGCGCATTAATGCGGGGTTGGAGCTCCTGCACCGACTTGATCTTTTGAAACTTCGGCACTGGCCCTCGACCGGCCTGCTTGCTCGCACCCGACATGGATCCCGACCGGGGCGATCTGCCATCTTGTCCAAAGTGAGCGTTGACTTGAGATCCTGCTGAAGGCGGGTAGAATTGGTCGGAGCCCATCTCGGTAGGCTGCAGCGGAGGGAGCCGAGGAGGACGTGACACAGCTATCACAACCAAACTGTTAGACATGAGCGATTCCCAAGTTTATCGGTGAGAAGGCTTACAGGGAGGCGACTGAAATGGCTGAGCGGGCGAGGAGTAGTTCAGAGCTCTGGTCGGCGACCGGCGAGAGTTGTTTGGCCCGGGCGGGAAAGCATATGAGTTCTGAGACTTTCCAGGACTAGTATTGTAAGACAAGGACGGCGACAGAACATTCATCGGGGAGTACCTTCGGGCAGCCGAGGACTCCTCAGGAGAGAAGAATTGAGACGATGGTCGACTATGATGATTCGGTCGCGCAGAGTACTTCGCCCTGTTGTACGGGTCCGCATCCTCCATGGTCGTATCGGCATCGGTGACATAATCGCGGCTACGTGGCGTTGCGGCTGGCGACGACGCCATAGATACCGATTTGGAGTTTGCGCCGGCCGAGGGAGGTTTCGCTGCTGTTCCGGGCGTTTGGAAGGCTTCATAGGTATATCCCACGGGCGGCTGAGACTGTTGCGGCTGACCACCATACTTGGGGCCTAATTGTTGTGGGGTAGACGCCAATCCATTGTTGAACTGCGCAGGACGTCCCATCAAGGGGTCCTGGTACGGCTGCCACTGAGAACCCATCTCTTCGGGAGACCACCCCTCACAATATCTCGAAGAACCCAAGTTGGAGTTGACGATCAAGGATGGACGATCGTCTGTCGCCGTCGACAGCGCACATGCACTGCGATCGAGGGGATGGAGAGCAGTGGGGGCGGCAGACACACGTAGCGCAATCAGGCGGAGACGACGAGGCGGCTCGGAATATTTGGCGTTAGACGTAAATTATACAGTGCTTCATCATCCGAACGACTGATCAATCCGGTGGTGAGGGTTGATTGATAACCACCGGGCGTCCTGTCCACCGAGGGTGGTCGCAGGCTCAATGACGGAGGACGGGTGCGACGGGCTGCCAGTATCTATCGGTGCAGCCAGCTGACTGACAAGCGGAAGGGGATGCAGTAAATAACTGGAGCACGGGGAGGATGTGTGGTAGATTCCAGAGCGGAAGTACACAGTCAAGAAGAAAGACTGTGGAGGATCTGGAAACAATTCCAGTCCGAATGGCCGCTGTGGAATCGCTCGAGCAGGAAGTAGACTAAGTATGCGGAGGGGTTTTAGAAAGAGAGGAAGAAGGCGAAGGTCGTGGAGGTGGAGATAGATGATGCCTCAATCTCGAGGGGAGTGTTGCGCCTGCCTCAGGCTGCGATTGGGCTCTGGTTTCGCCGGGAAAGGCAAAATAGAGAGGGATTGAGGGAATGAGAGCTTGCTGATCTCACGATGATCGATCGGCGACTTTTTATCGACTCGTTATTCTATTTCTACTGTGAACGAGTATGGTGTATCTACCATTGCTCCTGAATTCTGAGGTTTACAATTGTTATTTTCTGCGAATCCAGGGCAAGGCAAGTAAGAATTGTTGCCTGCCCCCTCTCATCCGACGCGAGTAGCCAGCCTCTTGGCTCGATATGTCATCCCTTGAGAAGGACATCAAGCTCAACCCTATTTGGCAACATTTGTGGAAAAGGAGTGGTCTAGCAGGACTTCCCATTCATAAAGCTGGCCTCTTCGGGAAATGAGGTCATTTCCTGCAACCATCAACCCCGTAGCCTAGAGAATAATAATGCCTTGTTTGGCACTTTCAGGAATTATGGTTGTTCGCCGCTTGCAGGATTAGCTGAACCTACTCCGTCAAGCGGACGGCTTCATGAGTTCGTTGTACAGCTCCAGTGTTAAGACAAGGAACGTGGATTTAGGAGTGGTCTCGCAATTCGGCAAATGATCATTCTTCATTACGATTGCCTCTGAAAAGAAGCTGGAACCATGTCACTACTGTATTCTGCTCATAAGGTAGTCTACTACCGATGCCCAAATCTGGCTGAAGAGGAAACTGGGCTGGACCACTGCCAAGGCTCAAGAGAGTGACGTGACCGATGGCACGTGCACTGAAGGCGGTCAATCTAGGCGGCAGTGGGCGAAATCTTTCTGCCGTAGATACCACTGAGAGGATAGCGATGCTTGTCGTGTTCGGCTTCTGCGATCATCATATTAGACAAGCCTTCATCTTCTGTTGGCTTTCTGGATTCTCTTGTGATATTCGTATATGAGAAGGTTGTTTTGGACTCGGATCGTACTGAGCGTCGCGCTTGACTGAGGTCAAGTCCGTCGCCGCCTGGATATCGCTCATAGTTCCTTGACAGCGCCACCTGTTACAGAAATGACGGTGGTGTATTTCTGAGCTGCACTGCTCCGTCATCGTGAAAGCTTGTTATTTGTTGAGTGAACGTGTTGATCTGCAGGTTGTAACAGCTATTGGATTGTCTGAAGAGCCATCCTTGGCATTTCTGTCGTGCTTCAGTCATGGATCACAGCGTGAAGAACGAGGGGGATGGCTCCACTGAAATTGAAGTGGTCGAGACACCTCAGAGGACCGAGGGATTAGATCCCTCCAATACCGCCGAGGTGGCGACAGCGCCTGACTCAAAGCAGCAAGAGGATCCCTCTGCAGTGACCGACGAAGTAAGCCGTCTACGAGAGCTCCAGGCCGATATACGCGATCAGGATGACCTTGAAAGGGACATATCTCGTCAGGTACCAGGCCCGATCCTCCTGATATGAAGTGCTTTATAGTCTGACTCTGCCAGGCCGACAGGTTGCTCATGGAGCAAGCCGACGAACGCGACAAGAAGAGGTTGGAGAAGACCACTCTCGAAAAAGAGTATGCCTTCTGCCATAAACTGATGTCTAGGCTCGGATGCTGATACCTGAATGGTTAGGAAACTCGAGGCCCAGATTCTTAAACTCCATCAGCGTCTGTCGCAGCCAGTTGGCACGTCTGCTCGAGTCCGGTTAGAGAACGAGTTGAGCAATCTAGAATCTCGCAACGCCTCGCTAGAGAATGACTTGAAAGAAATCCAACAACGTATTGACGACAGGCATGAGGGTCTCGAAGCAGGTACTCAGGCAACCGGGACAGGGCGCATGCCAAATGAATCTCGAAGAGATTATCTTATCCGAACCGGGAAGATAACGCCTTTTTCTAGGATGGGCGCAGGCCCGAATGAGGGTCCTCTTGCCAGCCTTCATGACGCTCTGATTGATGCCGAGGATGAACGTGACGAGGACGAGGCGTTGGAGCAACTGAAAGATCGCTCAGCTGTTTCACACAGGAATCTCGTCCGACCCGGATTCGACTTTGACGATGAGAGTACCGATACAAGTATCGCACAAACTCGGCCAAGCAAGAGACGAAAGCTGGAGGGTGGTGCACGCCGGAAGAAGGCCGGTATCAAGCAAGAGGACTCCGATTCCATGGCAGCAGATGAAGGTAATGAGCTTTCTGAAGATAATGACGAGTCGGCAGATTATGTGGCATCTGAAGAACAAGAATCATTGCTGGAGGACGAAGAAGAATTTTTCCCTGACGGAAAGCCAGAGCGACCTGTAGCTCACAAAAAGGGGAAGAAACCTGGGGATGAAATGGAAGATTTCAGCGGATTGGACGACGGCGACGAGAGACTTTATCAATCGAGACTGCAGAGCTGGGTGAGTCGGAGAAGCGCCGCTCGAAAGCGTGCTTCTAAGGCGCTGCAAGCAAAGGAAGAGCATGGGAATACCATTGATGAGCAGGCCTCGACCGAAGAGGATGAATGGTTCCTGCCTCATCCTACAGTACCAGATGTGTCTTATGACAATGGATATCGCTTACCTGGGGATCTCAATCCTTACTTGTTTGACTACCAAAAAACCGGGGTGCAATGGCTATGGGAGCTATACCAGCAGAAAGTGGGAGGGATCATCGGTGATGAGATGGGGTTGGGGAAAACGATTCAAACAATAGCTTTCCTAGCTGGACTGCATTACAGCAAGAAACTGGACGGTCCTGTGATTGTGGTATGCCCTGCTACAGTTATGAAGCAGTGGGTCAACGAATTCCATCGCTGGTGGCCACCTTTTCGTGTTTCCATCTTGCACACGTCCGGGAGTGGCATGGTTAATATCCGGAGCGAGAGCAGCAGAGAGGATGCTCTCCTAGCTCAGACCTATTCTTCTAGTTCGCGGGGATTCACCAGCAACCAGAAGGCAGCAAGGAAGGTTGTTAAGCGTGTGGTGGAAGAAGGCCACGTTTTGGTCACTACCTATTCTGGATTACAAACATACTCTCATTTTCTGATTCCAGTGGAATGGGGTTGTGCAATTCTTGATGAAGGTCATAAGATTCGAAACCCGAACACTTCTATCACCATCCATTGCAAGGAGCTTCGGACTCCGCACAGGATCATCCTCTCGGGTACCCCTATGCAGAATAACTTGACCGAGCTTTGGTCGCTTTTCGATTTTGTGTTCCCGATGCGCCTTGGAACGTTAGTGAACTTTCGGAACCAATTCGAATTCCCTATCCGGCAAGGCGGATATGCGAATGCTTCTAATCTGCAAGTGCAGACAGCTGCCAAGTGTGCAGAGACGCTCAAGGACGCCATCAGCCCATATCTTCTGCAGCGCTTCAAGATCGATGTGGCTGCGGATTTGCCCAAAAAGACCGAGCAGGTGCTCTTTTGCAAGTTGACCAAGCCACAGAGGATGGCATATGAATCATTCCTGAAATCTGAAGAGATGGAATCCATCCTCAAGGGACGCAGGCAGATTCTCTATGGAGTTGATATACTGCGCAAAATATGCAATCACCCAGATTTACAGAATCATAAGCTGCAATCGCATCAACTGGGCTATGGAAATGCGAACAAATCTGGCAAGATGCAGGTTGTCAAATCTCTATTGGAGTTGTGGAGAGACACCGGCCATAAAACCCTACTTTTTGCCCAGCATCGAATCATGCTGGATATCCTTGAGAAGTTCGTCAGGTCACTGTCTGGGTTCAACCATCGGCGTATGGACGGCACCACACCCATACAGAACCGGCAAACCATGGTTGACGAGTTTAATAATGACCCGAATATACATGTCTTCCTACTCACGACAAAGGTTGGAGGGCTGGGAGTGAATCTTACGGGTGCGGATAGAGTCATCATCTACGATCCAGATTGGAACCCATCGACAGACGTGCAGGCCCGGGAGCGAGCATGGCGACTGGGTCAGAAGCGCGATGTCAGCGTCTACCGCTTAATGACCGCTGGAACAATCGAGGAGAAGATATATCATCGACAGATCTTCAAACAATTCCTTACCAATAAGATCCTCAGAGACCCCAAACAGCGCCAGACTTCCTTTCAGTTGAGCGATTTGTATGACCTATTCGCGCTCGGGGACGAGAAGCCAGGTGCCACGGAGACGAGCAAACTCTTTCAAGAAGCTCAGGTTACATTTCAGGGAGACGGTGACGGCAATACTCAACAGCCTACCAAAGCCGAGGACGCCTCATCTGACATGCAAGCCGAAAAGAACGGCATCAGCAAAGTAGTGGGTGTCTCGTCCGTGGAGAGATATCAGGGCGAGTCGGAGCAGCCCAGCGATCAGGAGAAAGGGGCTGGAGGCGTTAAGTCAGAGTCACGCATCATGGAAGGCATTTTCGCTCGCTCTGGCGTACACTCGGCTTTGGAGCACGACCAGATTGTCAACGGCAAACGGGTTGTCCGAGCAGACCCCAAGATCATCGAGGCGGAGGCCAAGAGGGTAGCTGCCGAGGCCGCCGAGGAGCTGCGGCGAGCTGGTGAAGCAGCACGGTCTGTTCCCATTGGGACTCCCACCTGGACAGGTCAATTTGGAGTCGCAGGGAGGCCGGAGGAAAGACCTCTCCCTTCAGCATTTGGCGGACGAAGCAGTACTGCGCGGCGAACGGCGGCCGGCCCCTCGTCAGCGAGCATTCTGGCTAACCTCTCCGCACGGACACCGTCGTCCCGGAGCGCCACGAACAGCCCTGCACCGTCCAGGACTCCCACTGGCGTGGATTTCATGACGATGATTCGAGACTACATCTTGTCGCAGGGTGGAGCCGTTTACACACAGATGCTGATCGACCACTTCAACCGTTACTGTACCACACCCCAGCGATCGGCCGAGTTTAAGGAAATGCTTAAGACAATTGCCGTGCTCGAAAAGGGTGGGCGAAACGGGCGAGGACGATGGTCGCTGAAACCCGAATTCGCCAAGGTGAAATAACAGATCTCGTCGCTCACAGGTTACAGCATGAACAGGAGTTATTGGTTTGGGCCGCGGACTACTTGGTTTGGTTGAGGAAAGGGAAAGGATACCATGGATTATGGCGTTTGGATCATTCATTGTAGATACTTAAGAGTATGCAAATGATCTAATCATAGAGTAACATAAACATCACTAAGCATGCATCACATATTCTCTGAAACATGGCCTTTCGGACTGCCCGATCATGGATAATAGGTCAACTGATGTCACTTCAGGGGTGACTGAACGAATGGAACCGAGTTGATCATGATATCAGTTTGGTCCCATAAGGTAGGTAGTCCACAAATTTCATGACCATGACCCATGGATGTAGGATGATTGTGATAATAGTGACGATCTTTAGCGACTGCGAAACTTCAAACCTCAGCCGAAGATGCTTCGTAATTGTCGTCGATATATTCATCATTCCTTCATATCCTGAATATGGCAAATACGGCATGATTCCGAAGTCTGGATGATGCTCGCCTCCTGTTCCTGTTAGCGTGCATCGGGATGTCGATCACCTTGTGACTGAGTTGGTGCAGCATAGAGGACATAGTACAGAGACTAGGAGCTCAAAGTGTAAAAATAGCACGCCTGAGTTGAGCATCGGCAGCATAGATGTTACACTTACATGTGTCTGCAACAAACTACAATGAAGCATTGAGGATGCTCCGTACTTTGTACTCAGGATTTGGAGTAATGTTCGGCAATGTCTCAGGTTTGAAGCCATCCCCGCTTCATGAATCATTATTTCCCCCCAGCAACCAGTGTCCACTGCGGTACGATCTTACTCTACTCAAGCAATCATCTTGGCTAATTCATTGAAAACCTTGCCGTGTTCCCACTGGCCATTGATCGTCGTTGCGTCGGGCAAATTGTCCAAATCTCCATACTTTAGCCTGAGCTGAACAACTCCATGTGTGGAGCTCATTCTTCCTTGAATTTCTTGGTTGTTCCGGCGATGTGATGTGATGTGTGGCCTGAGAAGAACGGACTCGATTAGTTTCTGCTAGACAGCGTGCTAACAACTAGCATTCCTGCAATGTCTGCAGAAGGTTCTAAATTTTGAATGCCGATCATTGATGAGATGATTTGATTCCCAGTGCCGGTTGGAAACAGTCCGTGATGTTCCACTTAGTGGAGTGGTGATATGGTGGACTGTTCAAGAACATAAATAAAGGGAGGGATATCGCCACATCCATCCTCATCACTGTCACCCTTTCTCTCACATCGTTGTCCACTTTTTTTGTCACTCGTGCTAGTTTCATTGAAAAGCAGTCAAGCAAAATAATTCAATCTCTCGTTCAGTGACGATCATCAGAATGAAGCTGCTTTCTACTCTCACTCTACTGGTTTCCGCAGTGGCGGCCAACCCCATGTTCCATACTGCTCGCCAGGCCACCAACGCCACCAAGCCCTTCCATCTTAAGACCGCAGACGCATCCAACGAGAAACACAATGATTTATACGTCTACGCCTACCACACCGGTGCAGGATTCAATGACGCTGTCCTCACGTCCGATGAGGATACTGCCAGTACGGCGTTCCTGAACGGCACATACACCCAGTTCGACTTTAAGACTCCATTCCCTTGGGGCTTCAATCCGATCGCTGTTACCAACTATGCTCGTTAGTTCCCTGCTCTCCCAAATAGTTCATCTTCGATCCAGAACTGACTTGTTCACAGAATGGGAACCCGTCGAGATCAACGTCGGCTACGGCGCGGAGGGATTCTTCATCAATAGCACCGGCCTGCAGTGGTCAGAGCAACAGGGCTTTGGCGGCTGGCTGGGTAAGCATTTCCATCTGACGGTAACTCTCTGCATGTGGCTAATTCATCAGTGTGCGACTGGTTCCACGGCGCACCCCAGCTCTTCTATATATACCGCTATTACGAACCCAAATTTCCCTCCTCTTGCAGTACCGTCAACCTTCAGGTCGAATATACTTCGTAAATAGACCCGAGGGTGCGGATATTGGCCAGCGGAAGATGTTGCCACCGGATATGAGATGCGCGTGGCGGGAGTCATGATTCCTTAGTTCACTCAAGGGTTTTGGAGGATATGAGCCGCTCCTTACCTGTCGGGAATGACATGTATTGATACGCATCGCACATACGGAAACTTCTTGTTAATGTTAATGTACCTGTAATGCTGCTGTGATGCCAGTCGTTTATGTCATGCCATATCTTTGGATTGTATGGAATAGTGGACCTTCCTTTGTGATTATGATTATGGATCCATTTGTTATGTTCTGGTCAAGGGCAGACGTCCGGTCATTTCTCTAGTAGCACTGCTGGCGACCATGAAGACGATAAATCGAGGATATCCTGATGAGAACATGGTAGTTCAGTTGTTTAACGTGCCAACTAGATGAGATAGAGATGGACAGACTAGGTTCTAGGTGATTATGACCTTCATGTGATGGCGTGTGAATAATTCTAATAGCCAAAAATAGCCCATGTCTCAGTTATGCCCAAACAGGCTAGCCCGCCTCCAGATCCCCTTCTCTAGTCGCTTCGATCGGAACCCCCGTCTGGCATCTTTTCTTGTTAGACCCTTTTTCACCCTTCTCATGACTTGACTTGGCTTTTTCGGAGCACTGCTTGAATTTTGTATCTTCAATTTGGTCATCTCTCTCTACAGTTTCCCATGGTGTGATGCTGTTGAGTTGATTCTCTGACCAGTCACTCGCTTTGTTTACCTGCCGTTCAGCCTCCCCTCCTTGCGACCCGCATACGACACCACCCGATCTGCATGTTTCACTGACCCGCTGCCTTGGAGAAATTTGTTCTACCTGTCCATCTTACGTCCAGACTGTTTTGCCGACGTTGTGAATCGCTCTCTCTCGGTCGTCGACACTCGTTTGTGAAGCCAGAAGCCGATCGGTTGAGGAATAGCCGGAACACTCTCCCAAAATTTTCTCAAGGGACTCAGTCCCTGTATTGCGTGATAGCTTCAGGGTCTGAAGGCATCGTCCATCATGCAGTCCCTCAACTTCCTCTCGTTTTTAAGCCTTCTCCTCCTGCTGGGAACAATTTCCTCGGCTTGGCCATGGCCCCAGGACGGGCTGAACCTGGCACACGGAGAGATTGCGGCCAGAGCTGGTTAGTTTGCAGAAATATTGCTCATTTGTTCGCATGCTGACTTGACAGATACAACTGCATCCGACGAAACAACGACTGATTCTAAGGCGAGCAAGACCGACTCTGCGTCGGAAACCAATACTGCGGACTCAACTGCGACGGACTCTAGCAGTGGAACAGAGACTGCTACTGGAACGGCCGAAAAGACCGGCACACAGACGGAGTCGGGAACAACTACCGAGACTGCTACGGACAAATCGGGCAAGAACAGCAAGACCAAGACCTCTACCAAGTCGACCTCGATCGATCCACGTCTCCCTGCGGGCGGAACGTCGATGTTGATCCCCACCGCGGGTGCCACAACCTATTACAAGATTGGCGACCATGTGACTTTTGCCTGGAACTATACCTCTCTGTCGGTGACGCCGTCTGCGGTGAATGTTCTCGCGACCTGCACCATGAACAGCGCGACCTATACGCTCACGAGCAACATGAGCGTCGAGGCGACTGGAAAGGTGGTGTGGGATACGGGCAAGTACCAGGCGAATGCCACGGTCCCACTGCTGACTGCGACGTACACGTTGTACGTGGTCGACGTGGACAAGGATATTGGAGACACCGCAAGCCCCGGCCACCTTGGCTCGCAGAACGGTTACCTTTTCGGCATGTACAGTCCGCAACCCTATACTCCTCTCAACGGTATGCTCTTATTTTTCTAGGTATATTTGACAAAGTATACTGACCCGAATATAGAATTCAACTGCGCCACCTGCAACAGCGCCCTCTCCGACGTCGAGCGACAAGCCCTCAAGTTCGCCTTTGGCATGGTCATGATCACAATAGCCTCCTTCACGTGGTTCGCCGGTGACTTTGGTGTCTTTTCCACTTGAGCTTCCTCATGAACGTATCGTATGTTCTACAACGACATATTGCATTCGAATGAGCGACTTTTTCCCTTCATGACAATAGCGATGTATCCGCAAGGTTGGGCTGGCGTTTTCTCTTTTGCTTTCTTCTCTCTGTGTATTTGCCATTACGAATAATCTAAAGTGGCGGGGACTGGTATATGCAATCTATTCGATCATCTGGTGTCTATAATGGGCTGTATTAGCATAGAAATTGACATGCATATTATAATTCATCAACTAGTTTACTAGTCTAGAATATAAATATGAATGGAAGCAATTGCATATCAGCCCCATTCTTTGTTCTGATCTGATGACAAACCACTCCATTTGCATCTGCCTATGCCTTGTGCAATCGATACAAAGCAGGATAGGATGGGAGTACCAGGATAGTAAAGAAACAGCCCTGCAGCCGCATGCAATGCGACCTTTGTTTCATGAAGCCATAATCCCAGCTGATGGAATTACTTTATTCTTTATTCTCGTACAGAGGTACAGGTATAAGTAAATCCCCATCTCATCCCAAGCAATGCTGAAGGTGCGGTGCATTCACATATCCATTCGCTACGTGTGTTGATCTGAATCTCCCAACTGGCCTGCTGACCTGACTTCTCCGCTTGCTGTTAAGCTTGTTGCTCTCTCTCGTTTCTAAGCTCAGTTCGCTGCGCTCACTGCAATGCCTTCCACAACACTAGGCTGGATCTGGCCGAAAGACCCCCGGCCAGGTAACCCCTCGCGCTGGCCCCGTCGGTGGCGTCTCTTCGATATCTTGACCAATCGCGGACCGGATATATACGTGGGGAAGATCAAGAGCCGGACGCAGAGTCAGGAGCGGATCAATTGGTCTGGGTGGGAGTGCCGGGAGGGGTGCTGCTGCGTGGGGGTGGACGAGACGCCGTTCCCGTGGGCGAGGCGGGGAGCGTGTGAGCGGTATGATTTTCGGCGGAGGAGGTATGTGGTTCCGGATCATGGGACGTGGTGTGGGGTTGAGTATTGTGATGAGGAGGAGGTGGATGAGAGGGGGAGAAGGAGGAGGGTCCATGTCATTCCGCGGCGGTATTGGGATTGGAGGGGGGTGGAGTATCCGGCTGGGTATTGGCATGATGTTGTGCATGGGGTGCATGATTAGCTGGAGATAGGGCGGGAGGACGGGGAAGGATCGATGCAGGCGGGGTGGTATGCTTCCCAGACGACTGGTTGGCCTTGGGACGATTGGAGGGGGTTGGGTCTGCGCATGGAGGGCAGTTGTGCGGCGTTGTCGGTCATTTTGCCGCATTTCGCGCACGGCGTCTGTTTGATGTCGGAGTAGGAGGCTATCATGTCCTGAATTAAGGGTTAGACGTGTCCCGTTGTATCTGGTGTTAATGTCAATATGTAAACTTACCAGTAGATAGGCAAGATCCCACTGCCGCGGACGAGCATTCAGACAAGCTGCAACCGCCGTTTCCAGCTTTGTCTTCGGTTTCCCAGGAGTCGCCAGTTCCTGAACCCGCCAATCGACCATATCATGTCCATCTCCATTGACAGCCTGCAGTTGAAACGCCATGCCAGCCTTGACAGAAACAACAGTGATCCTGGGCTGGTCCTGAAGAGCCATCACCCGAATACCCGGTAAATCTCGTCGAATGAACGTCTCCACGATCGTCCTCCAGCCGCCCTCAACCCCTTCAATCTTCGCGCGTTCCTCCTCCTCCTCAACCCTCTGCTGCTGCTCCTTCTGCGCCCGCTCCTCCCTCTCAAGCTCCTCAAGAAGAACATCGTAGTCCCGCTCCCACATCCCCGTCGGCTGGAGCAGCTGGCCCCCGTTCTGCTTGATCCGCGCATCCACATGGTCCCAGATAGCTTTCATCTCAGGGCTGCGCCACATAGCCTGGAACTCCTGGACCTCCGCGACGCTCGCGCGTGCCGTCTGCGAGAGCTGTTCAAAGAGCACACGCGGCGATTTTGGCAGTGGCCTCCTCGAAGCCGCCTTGGGGTTGACGATGGGGACTATTGGCTCTATGAGACGCCCAGAGAGTAGAGTCCGTAGTTGGTGAATCTGCACTTGTCAGCTTGAACATCGAATCAACGCAAAGGGGGGAAGACTAACCGTCGCCTCCATCTTCTGCAACTTCGCCAGTGACGACACATACTGCATCTCTGAGGTCCAGGCTTCACCGCTCGAATTGTCCTTCTCAGGGACTTCGGCGGGGTTTGTAGTCTGGGGAGGATGCTCCATTTTAGGGACAATGACGCCTGTCGCTGGGGGTTGTGAACTGGGTTTTGAAGTAGAGGCCATATTGATTGTCTCTTCAGTGGGACGGATGAATGCAGAGCCAGCCGAATTTGCAAAACCTCTTCGCAATGAAAGGAGGTATACACCGGTCACTCCCAAGACGGAAGTGAAGGAGCGATGACAGAGGAGCTGATTGTTTGTTCCGACAAAAGGCCGGAATCGAGATAGTCCTGCTACTTGATTTTGATTTGACCGAAATACGGATCTCACTGAAAAGCGAAGATATCAGGAAGTTGAAGATGCTTTGAAAGATAATTATGGCGCTCCAGTGAGATGCTCTAAGGTGTGAGTGTGTTCTACTCTACCAATAGTTGGGGAAGTGATTCGATGGTGTCGACAGTGGAAATCCAGCCCATCTCTCTTTCGGCGAATCATGGAGATAACCTGCGCCACAGAACCAGCCACGTGTGGCACATCTATCACTTTCCTCTTTGGGATGTACATGGGGGTCTGCCATTACGAACATCAGTCGTCAAGATAATCAGTAGACTATATAGTAGGTACGTTTATTAAACTAGGAAAACTCAGAATTGCTTGAGTCGAGATAATTCAAGTTGTCGTAAGTCGTGCTTCGTTATTCACATCGATCAAAGTGCCTTCGACGAGTACAGTCTAATATATACACCCCTATCATGCGCCAGAGTGAGATTCGTCTGCTGGACTGGCTCAATCAGATCCGGATCCGCGTTCTCAATCCGATCAAATCGCTGAAGTAATTTGACAATCGTAAAGCTGGCCTCCGTGAGTGCGTATTGTTCTGCAGATGTTAGCTAGACAGTAAAGCCTCGTGAAAGTCAGGAGAAACTCACGGCCAAGGCAGATTCTCGGGCCGCCGTTGAAGGGAAGATACTCCCATCCTCGTTTGCCGTTTTCTTCCCAGCGTTCGGGTCGGAACTCGTTCGCGTCGGGACCATAGAAGTCTGTCCGGCGGTGCATGGCGTATACACTGTAGGTGACTACTGTGTCCTTGCGGATGTAGACGGGGGACTTTTGATCCGGCCCACCTCCAACAGGTAAGGTTGTGTCCTTGTTGGCGACGCGGAAGTTGGCAGGGACGGGTGGCAGGAGCCGCAGGACTGGTTTGCTGTCAGGATCTTTCCACTGTGCATTGTGTCGGGGGTAACGTACCTTCATTCAGCACATATCGCAAATACGGAATATCCTTGAGCTTTGTCTGCGTGATCTCCTCCTTGGGGTGCTCGGCGCCGCCGAACGCATCCACAATGGCCTGACGAAGTTTGGTCCACACGTTCGGATGGCGAGCCAGATAAAAGAAGGTCGAGCTCAGCAGGCTGGCGGTTGTATCGCGCCCCGCTAACAAGATGTTGAGCATGTTGTCCCTCAACACCTTCGGATTGTCGTTTTCGGCCGCCAGCGCCTCAGCAAAGATATACCGGCCTCCAGGCTGCTTATTCTCCGAATTCCGCCGTGACTCGAGAGCGAGCTCGACATAGTGGTCGACGACCTCATGGACGCGCTTGTTGGCATCGCGGAACTCCTTGGGGTTGATCATCCAGTAGAAGATGACCGCTCGGGACCTCGCGGCGAGATACTCCTGAGCCTTGTTGAACGCCTCTGCGAAGCCCTCCGCGTTACCGACGGCTGATCTACCCAGAAGGCCGGTGTCTGTGCCAGCGTGCAGAGAGCCCACCGATTCGCCAAAGAGGAAATGAGTCGCCGAATCGATCGTGAGGAGGAAGAACAGCCGCTGGATATCAAACGTCGAGCCGTCTTTCGGAACTAGGTCAATCAGTCTGGAGACGTGGCCGTCCATCAAGTCCAAATCGGCCACCTGAGCAGTTAGCACAGTCTGACGAGATGAAAACAATCACTCACCTGGTCCCTCGTAAACTGGGGTCGTAATAGCGCACGCGCATGCGACCATCCCGCTCCATCCAGCGTAAAAATTCCGTCTCCGAGTAACGGGTAAAACTCCTGGTGTCTCGTGCCGAGCTCGAAATCATTGAACTGGGTCGCGAGCAGAGCCTTGAGATTCTCCGGCTCAATCGTAGATACCAACGGTTGTCCAAAGATCGTCTGCGTAAATGTGTTACCGTACTTTCCATACTGCTCGGCGATGAGCTCAATCCATCTCTTCTCCTTGACGGCGTTTCTCAGTCGTAGAAAAGAAGAGATGCCGAAGATGCCCGCTTCACCTTCGGCGGGGGGCTGACAGCGCAGGGATCGAGCCTGTTTGCGATGCTTGTAGAGTTGCTGGAAGTAACGGAGGACCAAAAAGGTGGCGTATACTGCGCCGAATAGTGCGACAGCAGGGGCCAGCATGGTGTCGAGCCCGGGTGGGTGAGGTTGTACTTGTGAGTGGTGACTTGTGTGACAATAGCAAATATCCGAATGTTAGAATTAGAAATGGTCCAGGTCGGTGTGACCAACGTTATCCATGACCGCAGTGCTCACTATTTATACCACATGCTCATGTCGACTTCAGAGCTACCCCTCAATATGCGACGTTGACAACCAGTATGTTGATGCTTCGGAGGAGAGTGTCCTCGGACTCCGACATGTGGATCGCTACCAAACTTACAGAAAACTCAACGTATTAATGGTCAAAAGAAAACCGATGAACGATCCATCGCAAGCACATACGAAAACGGTTAGACAGAAAGAATGCAAGATGTCAGGCGAAGTTATGCACAGTCTAGTCTCGGCTAGGTCGCAAGCATATATGAAAAAGGCTAGCTACACCCAGGATCGGCCACGCTAACTACTCCCCACACTCTAATGACATCAATGATCACTGTGACTGCCAGGACTGACTACGCCTGAAACATGGCAGCCATTGTTTCAAGGCCTTGCTAAAGTAATTCCGGGAGACTGCCGCGTCCGGGGTGAGGCGAAAGTCGGGGCAGTGCACCGCGTTCTCCATAATGTACCCAAATATCGCGTCTTTGCCGGTGGAGACCCCACAGGCCGGTATTTCAGTGGTGAAATTGACTCCCTGTGGAGCCCAATCTTCATCAGATAGCACCGACAATGGTCTCCAGGGATCAAATTGCCCCCCGCTGAAATACACGTTGGACGGTCGGATAGTCCAGCCGCCGAACTCTTCGTTCAAGCTTTCCGTCCGTGGTCGTGGCGGTAGGATCCCAGCCTGGACGGCGTTTGGGAACTGGCGATTACAGAGTTCCTGCTGATACTCCAGGGTCTGATATGAGGAAAGAAGCGCATGAGAGCCAAAGTTGTTGCTCTGGAAAAAGCCCCATTCGGTGCAATATTGCCAAGTCCAGCTGATCAATTCAGGGATGGTGTTGGTTTGACTGAAATCGCACGACAAAGGCTCTGATGCATTGAGACCGTTGCAGTTAGTCCCATACATCCTGTTGACCAGCGATATGAAGTAAGGAAATGACGCCCATCGCTCTGCAACATATTTGCTGCCGTGGATTGGGGCGAGACCCTCCGGTCCTGCCGATTGGTTTGTCGCTGGGTCCAGCTCAAGGTAGTTGCAGAAATCGTGCAAGCTTTGATTACCGCTCCAAAGACCGTGAGCCTGAAAAGGTCCGTAAAGAGCGACCAAAGCCGTGGTGAAGTCTGCATTGCTGTTCTTCTCCGCATCGCGTCCAAGAAAAAGCCGTTTGATCGACGCGGACGTCTCTTTGTTGGACAACTGGTCATCGATGTACTTGAGAGCAGCCTGGATGTCCTTGGTACAGTTACTGTACCCGTTGGCCACCATAGCGCGGTAAATCTGTTCATAGTACACGCTCATATTGAGTTGAGCCTGGACGGGAGCGGACGAAGCATAAGCTGCAAATATGGTATCGGGGTATTTGTTGCGAGTGAACGCAGCACGGATACCAGGATAGGATCCACCGATCATAACCCAAGGGGTTCCTCTGGGTGTCAGATCGATATCAGGATGATTCGGCCGGCTGAAATTTGCAGCAAAATATGGGATATCAGCAAGAGCTTGTTCGGTGGTGAGATACTTCAAGTGCTCCACGGGCATATCCTGACTGACGGGGAATGGAAGTGAGTCTCCATAATATCTTTGCAACATCAGTACATATTTAATTTTGCGGCCTTTGATTGACACTACCTGTGCTCCCACACAATCCCCATAGCGTGAAATTCCTGCAACAGCAGACTAAGCCAGGATGAGGAATTTGTCAACAAAGAAACCGAGTACTCGGCAGTAGCCTCTCCAATATCATAGACCATAATCGGACTCCCAGAGACATAGAAGTCTTCATTGACCCAAAACCTGTTTCGATAGGTGCCAACTGAGGGATCCTCGTGGTCAATGAGCATCTGCATGAGTTAGGAACAAGATCGATAGTTGTAAGGGCTTGAATTCACCTCTGTATATTCTGCTGCACTTGTGGAATCCACAGAATCGGCAATTATAGAACGGAAGGCTTCAGGGTCATTCAATGCGAGATGAGAATCCAAGCCCAATTCAGCGGCGAGGTGCAGGTCTCTTCGTAGCGTAGACGCTGGTAGACCAATGCCTGTGACAGGGTCGAAGATAACTGCAAGCTTCATTGCAGCGAGCCATGATGGATGGAGCTTCATCGAAAGTCTACACAAGGATCGGCTCAACGTCAAACTCAATGTGAGATAAAAGCGAGGGCCGCGGACGATCCGTGTAGTGGGCCGAGATAGCGATCAAGGACCGAGAAAGCTGGAGTTGACCGACATATATACTGCCACACCCTCGAGGAGTCCGCCAAGTTAATGTAGTCATTTTTGCAATTGCAGTTGTCAGTCCTGAGCAGGCAGTGGAGATTCACAACTATCGCGGTCACCGAGACAGGGGATATCGCGTGCGCTACGACTCAGGTGTGTCGCACAACAGATTACCGAAAGCGGTGATAATAGCAACCATTCAACTGTCTATGAGGATCCAGCCACCCATCTGAATGGAAGACAATCTTCCTTGACTTGGGGCTTCAAAACCTCACCAATTGATTGGCACCAAAGCCGAAAGATGCATTAGCAAGTCAGTTGTGCCACATGGTTATCCACTTTAGGGGCGACCCGAGGCATTCTAGAACAATACGATGCATGTACCCGAACAATAGCTTCAGATTGAGGATGCTCAATTTGTAGCACGCACGCATTAAATAGCGATAGGATTGCTAGAGACAGAATGCATACACACAATAACAAGCCATTTTAGTCCCGAAATGCGTCAAGTTTTGCCGAATTGATGCCCAGCAGAAATGAATGCGGTCCCTCACTCCGGAGGCTTGACAGAACCTGACACTCAAGGTTCCAGGAAGGACAATCAAACAAATTTAGCGTTAGATTGTTTGCGCATCATTTATGATCTCATATATGACAGAGCTTGATTGAAAAAGCTGTTCATGTTTGTTCTCATGGAGAAGAATCTGAAGCGCCACTGTTCAATCTCATGACCCTTCTGCTAGAATGCCAGCGACGGCTATCAGCATCATGCTAGGCATGCTCTGACTCTAACTCAAAGCAATTAAGCCTTTGCACGCTGAGCACACCAGTCAGTGTTGGCTCGGAGAGCCTGAATGGCCACCCATTACTCTGTTATAGGAATTGCGCTTCAGAAATGCCTGTGTCCTCATACATGTGTTGAAATGCAATCGCCCCTGAACAAGGACAGGACACAAAAAACATGGCTTTAACATATTGGTAAAAGATGCCGTGTAAATGGGTCTCTAATGAATACTTCAAACACGGAAGAGCAAGGTTGGTAATGTCTCAGCCATATATCAACTATAATAAGCACTTGATCTTCATGCTGTTTCACTCTAAAAACAGACATGCAGGCGATGTTAACGTTCCTTCTTTTCAGCGCTTCAATTCCTGAATGGAAACCATATCAGCAGGAATGAGCTGTGAACACCAATTGGGTCTGAAACATCTGAAGATGTTCCGAACTGGATATGCTGTTCCTGAATCCTGATCTGATCCTGATCTCTTGGGTAATCGAACAGATCTGTCAGCGACGATGAGTGAGACCAGCAACTTAGCAAAAACGTGGTCTAGAATTCGACCTCAGGCATTAATCAGCAGAAATGTTTTCCAATCTTTATACGCAAGGAGTCCTTCGGCTGGACGGCTGGGATTTCCGGACTGATTCCGGATTGATTCCGGTGAAGACTGGCACCAAGCCCACCACGAGTTTCATTTCCCAACTCGACACATTCGATCATCTTGGCTGTTTCAAGAACCACAGCTCCTTTCTGCATATTTGGACGACACTTGAGGGATACACTTGAATTGAACGTCATGAGATGAGTTGGCCGATCGCAACACCTGTGCCAGACTCGGGATGATACAATGCGAGGGATGCAATGAGCGGCTGATTGATTGATGGAAATTACTGAAATAGCCGTTCCCCCTGAAGAAAAGAAGCTCAAGACGGAAAAAATCCGGGTGCAGCTGACCAGATGTTTATGGCGCCAAAGCCTGACGAAACCCAGTTGGATCATTCCGGCAAAGTTCGAGTGTTTCACAACCATGGCTGAAAGGCGATAACTTGGATTCTCGCGATAAAATCGACCGAATCTGGCTTGCAATATGGAGTAACGGATTGCCAGTTGATCCTGCCAAACCCCACCTGGTGATCCGTGACTGTCCCTTTTAGGCACGGCGATGCGATCCTGAGACATCATCCGGATGAACCAGAACTACTCCTGCCTCCTGACGAGGTCGATATTGGATCCAGTAGTGCAAGCTGTCAGCATGAATGAGTCGCTAGTGTACAGTGTTATATCTCTCAAAATCACTGAAACCGCGTGAAGAAATTGGCCGGTTTAAAGGAGCATCCTGCTGAGATGATGATACTTGGCGCCAACCCTTCCCCGGAGAAACCTACCGCGTGGTATTTGTCTATTTCGTGGCATTCGCGCAGGCTTCTCCGCATGCATCGGTACATACTGTGGACCCAATTAATATACCGTCATGCACTCCTTCGCTAGCGCCAGCTTTGATAGATGATGATGCCGCGCTCATGTTGCGCAATTATCCACCTCACTGAGATTGGTGGAACCCGTCAAATTGCCAGGAGGGGAAAAGTGATGAAGAGGATGATCCCTTCGTGTCTGAGGCTGGACACGCTGAAGAATGGCATCTGGTGATATATAGGCATCTGCACTTCTGCAGACCCACAGAATAGAAGCTCAGCTCAGAACGCCACCTCCCAGAGCGGTTCACCATGCTGTCGAAAGCTACGCTTTTGTTGTCCCTTCCCTTCTGGGCTCGCGTCGCCAATGCGGCCTTTGGCATCACCACGACCAGCAGCTCCTATGTCATCGATGCCAACTCGGCGAGTCCGTTGAAGTTCACCGTCAACCGGTCGAACTGCGACATCACATCGATCAACTTCTACGGCGCCGAGCTGCAGTATCAAGGCACAGGCAGTCACATTGGGTCAGGTCTCGGATCTGCATCCGTCTCTGCCACTCAGAGTGGTGTGTTCAGGTACTGCTGAAGATGGCATTGTTGTACTGACCTCTGTAGGCGATTATATCAAGGTTACCTGCTCGACAAGTACCTTGACTCATTACTTCGTTGTGCACAACGGAGACCCCATCATTCATATGGCCACCCATATTACTGCGGGTTAGTCCTCTGACAATGCTTCGGAATATCCGCTGACCGTCCAGAACCCTCTATCGGTGAGCTGCGGTTCATTGCCCGCCTCAACAACGAGCTCCTCCCCAACGAGGAGCCATTTGGTCAAGTCTCCAACACCGCTGGCGGTACCGCCATTGAGGGCTCGGATGTGGTAAGTTGGTCGTCTCAGGATGATGCCACGTGCTGACAGTCATAGTACCTGGTCAACGGCCAGACCCGTAGCAAGTTCTACTCCAGCGAGCGATTCATCGACGACCACAGACACTGTAGGTAGCGTCCACTTTCCTTGAATCTAGGCTAACAGACACAGGCGTCTCTGGCAGCGCGCATCGCGTGTGCATGATCCTGAACCAATACGAATCTTCTTCCGGCGGTCCTTTCCACCGGTATGTTTCTCTTTTTGTCCCTATATCCGAGCCGCTACTAAATTCAACAGCGATATCAATACCAATAACGGAGGCCAATACAACGCCCTCTACTGGTACATGGTAGGTGTTTGTCTGTCCGGAATCGTGCAGTCGCTAATGCGCCCAGAACTCCGGCCACGCCCAGACAGAAGCGAATCGCATGGGTCTGCACGGCCCATACTCGATGTACTTTAGTCGCAGCGGCACTCCGGGCACCAACATTGATACGTCTTTCTTTGCGAACCTTGATATTAAGGGCTACGTCCCGGCCAACGCCCGAGGCAAGGTGTCTGGGAAGGCATCTGGTGCTGATTCCACGTTTAAATGGGTTGTTCACTGGTATGCGGAGAAACCCAGTGTCGACACTAAATGTCTCAATGCTGATTATCCAGGTACAACGATGAGGCGCAGTACTGGACCTACACGGCCTCCGACGGCAGCTTCACCTCTCCCGCCATGAAGCCCGGAACCTATACCATGGTGTATTACCAGGGCGAATACAAGGTCGCGTCGACCTCTGTCTCCGTGTCGGCCGGCTCGACGACCACCAAGAACATTTCCGGGTCCGTGACGACCGGCAAGACCATCTTCAAGATCGGCGAATGGGACGGCCAGTAAGTGCAAACGCATTTCAGCATCTGAACGTCTCAATCCACAGAAGTGCTGACAATCTAGACCCACCGGCTTCCGCAACGCCGCAAACCAGCTAAGGATGCACCCGTCCGACTCGCGCATGGCCAGCTGGGGCCCGCTCACGTACACCGTCGGCAGCTCCTCGCTGTCCGACTTCCCCATGGCCATCTTCAAGTCGACCAACAGCCCCGTCACGATCAAGTTCACCGCGTCGTCCTCGCAGACCGGCGCCGCCACGCTGCGCATCGGCACGACCCTGTCTTTTGCGGGTGGTCGGCCCCAAGCCAAGGTATGCCGCCTGACAGCTCCCTTCGCCTGACAAAAGCTAATGAGGCAGGTCAACTCGTTTACCGGACCGGTTCCATCCGCTCCCAAGGACCTCAACTCGCGCGGTGTTACTCGCGGTGCGTACAGGGGTTTCGGTGAGGTGTATGATGTTGCGATTCCGGCCGGCACGATCGTTGCGGGCACCAACACGGTACGTCGTCATTATTTTATCGTCTAACTACCGAGCTGACGGGAATAGATTACCATTAGTGTTGTCTCTGGCAGCTCCGGAGACACGTTCCTCAGTCCCAACTTTGTAAGTTCAGTTACCACTTTTGTGTGTTCTAGACTAACACTGCTAGATCTTCGACTGCGTCGAGCTGTTCCAGTAGGGCATCGCGATGGTATGCGAAGCGGTAGCTAGTATTTGAATATTTGACAATGAAGTATTTACAACATGCTCGCTTCGCTCGCAGTAAGACATTACCGCATGACTCTATCAAAAACAAACCAGGCACTCACGAATCCCAATCCACACAACCACCACTTCGATTCCCAGGCCGCCCCTGTCCCTATCCACGTAGGTTTCCCTTTCTCGGGTATGCACACATCCGATTGTGA